GGGATTGGATTAAACATCTTCCTGTGATTCTGATGGCAGATCAAATGATGACTAAGGCTAGTACTGGTATCTCCCCTTATAGATTGCTAATGGGCCAGGAGGCAGTTCTTCCAGTTGAACTTGAGATTCCCACTTGGCAAACAATTCCATAGTGAAATGTCTGAACAACTGAAGACCTTCTTCTGATGCGTGCATGTCAAATTGAATGACAAGATGAGGATGTCCTGAAAGCAGCACATCATCAGCTCTGAATGTGTGCTAAGAATAAGGAATACTTTGATGATACCCATAATATTTGAACCAACCCTCTTCAACCCAGAGACCTTGTCTTGCTTCACAATACCAAAGGAGAATAGAATATGTCTAGGAATAACACCCTGCACTTTCAATGACTAGAACCCTATAGGGTTAAGTCTGCCAATCAAGAACTAGGTTCCTATCACCTTGAAGAGTTAGACAGCACTGAAATCAAAGAATCTATTGCAGGAAGCAGATTAAAGAAGTATCTTATAAGACCTGAAATGGAGCAGCTCAGTGATAGCCCAGCAGATTCAGATGAAGAGATGGAGAATGTTCCTCAAAAATATGCCACAAGAAGCCAGCCTAATATTCCCTCTAGCAGTTCCTCAGATGTTAGCTCCTTGGATAGGGGGGATGACCAAGGTCAGAGTAAGAGCAAAAATGAAAATGACCAAGAAGAAATGGAGCAAACACAATTACCAACTGTTATACCAGATGACTGGAGCTTTGCTGTTGTTATACCTCCACAAGATGTTTAATTTATTGTGTTTTGTTTGCAAAAGTGAAGTTTTTGCTTGCTCTTTTGGGAGGTTTCTTTTATTTGCCTGCAAAGTGAAGTTTTTGCTTGCTTATTTGGGAAGTTTCTCTTTCTTTGTTATTTGCAGAAGCCTTCACTTTTTCTGAATTTTTCAGGAGATATTTAAAGACTGATTTTTCTTTTCTGAAGCTTCTACTGTCTTTTACATTCAAGCTTGATTCTTTTCACAGATTCAACAGTTTCAACACTTCTTCTTGCCTTCTATTTTGTTATTCTGACATTTGCAATTCTTTTTGGATCACTGATATCCTTCAAAATGGCTGGACAAAGCAACTTGCCTCCTCTAGCTCCTGCACCCAAAAACCAAGGCCTGGTTGTTACCAGAGACAGTGGAGTCAACCTGGATGGCCATTTCTTCAATAACCTAACAGCAGCTATGGAATACATTGATAACCAAGCTCCACACCATCACTACAGCTTACAGATTGAGCTAATGAATGCACTGATGTGAGTGACTGACATGGTTACTGACTTAGTGGCCCATTTCTATTGATATGTTGAAAGATCCAGAGCTTGGCAACACATTACACATGCTAATTTTGAAGCTGATTTCCATGATGCTTGAAAGGTTACCCTGGATGTTGAATAATGTTGCATTGATATGCAAAAGATCAAGAATAGACTTGTTGCTACATGGGGTATTGACAGGATTGATGCCATATGGTCAAAAGTGGAGAGCCTGTGGGCAGCACAAAAGCTTTGCCATACCCTAAATGTCTACAAGGATTGGGATAAGTTCACCAATAATATTAACAGCACAGTGCTCTGAAGACTAGATGCTACAGGGGCTGGACATTGCTGGAGCTTAGCTATATTGCCAGGTGATTATACTACAGCTGACAAAGAAGTTGACTGTGTATGCAAACTTCCTTCAAGAGATGCCCTACACTGATGGGGCCTTACCATTGGCAACTATGGTCTTCTACAGCCATTGGCTCTTCCACAGTCATCTAGCTCCCAATGTTCAATTCAGGATATCACTAGGAGCTCTCCCACTGCAAGCAGCCCCTGAGGTCTACTGGAAGGACTGCAGTCTCCAAGATTGCCAAGAGATGTTCCAATGAGTGGAATGTCTATGCCATATAGCCACAATGTGTTGGGAGCCTCTATATATAGCACAATGTCAATTAGATCGCGTGGATTTGAAACTGGCCAATCACAGCTGCCATTTGAATTCACCAGCACGCTGGCCAATCCACCCAGCCAATCAGAAGCTCCAAAGTGCTGCAGTGAAAGAATTGCAGCCATGTTGGCACACCAAACCCTCCAAGACTTAGGCAACAATGATGAGTCTGTTATTCCTCCTGAAAGTGATGAAGAGATACCTCAACACAAGCATGAAGAATCTGTCATGGCAGTATGCTCTGGTACTTGCTGTTGTCATGGATTTGAACAGCAACTCCTGCAAAAGATAAAGAGTATTAAAATGTGTTCAGAATTGGAGCTTATTTGCATCCTGGAGCAATTAGGAAAGGCATTTAGTGATAAGAAAGCTGATATCTACCTATGCTATGACCATGCAAAACTAATAGCTTCAAAACTCAGGTTGCAGACTCACACACTTAATAGGGAGGAGCTTCTCAACTGTTTGGCTCACATCCATAGGAATTGTTGCAACATTGGCTCAGTCAAGACCAATGACAGCACCTACCTCTGGTTCCATTTGGCAAATAGACTGGCTAGAGCTGAAGATGCTTTAGGCATCTACAAATTCAAACATCAGCCAATTATCCCTCTGGTCACAAACATGAGAATGTTTGACTTTAACCAATACACACAGATCACTGGAGTTAACAAGTTCACCACCAGCAATCTTCAGAAGGAATGGGAGACCACTGAGTCTGTTGTTATTTCCCAGCTAATGCACTGGTGGAACAATAGGTTACAAGGCACCACCATCACAGTACTCACTCAGGTCAATGGTGAATATGATATGTACTACCATCATCAGCAAATGATGGGAGGTCGCGACAATTACAGATGGTTGAGAACAATGTACCACAGTATCAGCCAACAACTCATGCGCCAGGACCCTGCATACTACCTATGGTACATGCTGACAAGACCTGACCATGCTTGGAAATTAATCTCCTATCCATATTACACCAAGTATGCTAAGCCAGGGGATAAAACTGGATTTCACCATATTGATGTCAATGTTTCAGATGCTATTACTACTGGAAGGGGTGTTAACATGATACAAGGATCCTTGACCTTAATGGCAGAAGAGCCCAGCAACTGCACAGAAATCTTGCCAGGAATGCATAACCACCTAGAGAATTGGTGGGGACTAGTTGAAGAATGAGGCTTATCCACTGATGGCTATGTTCACTGCATTAAGGATACAATGTATACCAAAGACAATGAAAGAAAATTTGGTATTAGGTGGACCGACATCATTTGCAAACCTGGTGATGTCCAAATTACAAGCCCTCTGCTGCCCCATGGAGCTCATGGTCCATGCAAAAAGGTCCAGCGTACTATGCTACCCTGGTATGTGGCAATCCAGGAGGACCATGAACATCTTGAAGTCAATGAAGCTGGTACCTGGTCACAGCTCTCCACTGCACATAGGGATCTAGTTCCAGAGCCATCATCACCTTCCAGCCATTCAAACTGTTATGCATCAGTTCCATATTGATTCCCTACTGCTATTCAATTGCAAGGCTTAGGAGCTATATCAGATGCCTTGGTAGGCTGAATTAGGTGGGACAACCCTATGGTGATTGAGGAGCTTGATACCCTCTTTGGACCAGAAGAGAAGAAGGCTCAGGACTTCATTAATAACTGGTGCCTAAAGGCCATGTGAATTGCTTTGGATGCCATTGTCAAGACATACCAAATTGAAAAGAAAGCTTTTGGTAACAAATCCTATTGGCATTGCATGCACAACAACATTGACCCAGTGTCAGTTTGGCCTTCCCCTCCTCCCGAGAACTTGGTGGAAGAAGAGGATCATGGTGATCACTATTAGGGATTGCTGCTGTCACTCTCTTTATTCTTATTTCCTATCTCTTTTCTTACCAGATTGTTACTAATTCTTAGCCTCTTATTTTCTTTACTAAATTGCCTTTGTTTTGTTTCATATGTTGCCTGTTGTCAGGGGACACCAACAGTGAAAGCCAGGAGGAAATGTAGTGGGGATTCTGGTACCATATTAGGACAAAGGTTGTTCCAGTCTGAGGCGCAAAACCCCCCCAGCTACTATCTCTGAGCTATATAAACCATCCATAGCCCCTGCATCTTGCTCAATACCTTTGCGCACCTTTGTACTTTTCCACACACTCATTCTTTATTGCTAGTTTGGTTATTAGTTAGAGAATATGAAGATCTCTTGTTCATGAAGCTTGCCACTGTTCCTCATTAGAGCTGCCTGTGTTAGTACAGGCTCTTTAGTACTATTATTCCTTATGAGCTTAGGCGTCCGTTAAGGCATGCTTCTCTGTTCTTACTACTCGGCCATTACCATCCTTACTATGTTGTGATTTTTCATCCTTCTTGCGCTCTCACCATCTCAACCAACTCGCCTACTTTGACAAGGCATCCCATCGTACCCCGCTTCAGTAGCTGATAAATAAATTATAAGTCTCAAAACTTTTTAATTTCAAGTTCCATGCCAGCTTTTTTAAGAATCTTTTTATTATAGTCAATGTAGCTGTAATTGAGGCTGTAATACTTCATGCTATTAAATCTGGTTTTCTTCTCAATAGTATTCAGCACAACATATCTTGGCTTCTCTGTCCCAAAATATTTTATATAGATAATGGACCCCAGCTTGAAGATAGCTCAGAGAATATTCTATATTATCTGTTCACTTGCAAGTTAGAATGCAAGCCATTTAATTGTGGGCTGGTATATTATCAAGACAAATTTAATAAGCAGAGAAAGAAAATTTACTTGATCTTATCAGCTCAGTATACCAGCAGTATTTACTTTATATATCTCTAGCTCAGAGAGAAAGTAGTACAAGAGATCCAGCTCAAGCTGTTTCAACATTAGCTACTGCTAGATTCTGTAATAAAGCACAATATACACTAGACTTATTCTTCTGCAAGCTGATAAACTTGACTACTTTTAAAACATTCTGCAAGATATTATAAAGAAATTTTGACTTGATGTCAATGCAGACTGTCCACTTTATAGAATTTTTATCAGTTTGGGTTCAAACAACAAAGATATATTGGTCAAGCTTATTAAGAATCTCTTTCACTACTTTCTTGATCTTATACTTCAGTATCACTTTATCCCAACTGCAAACCAGTTAGTTGAGTTGATGAGCATTGATGACAGAGCACATACATTTTATCAACTCTCTTGAAGTCAAGCTTAGAGTCAAGTGCAGTAACTGTGGGCTTGGAGTCTGATGACTTGTGCATTTCTGATATGGCATCTTCTGTACTAGGCTCAGCTGCAGTGGGATTAGCCCTGATCTCCTGGATAACCTCCACAAGAAGATCTTTCAATTCCTTCTGTGTGTCAAGCTGTTGATACACTCCATCCAACATCAGGCTCCTCTGAGCATTTTCATCAATGGGGGTGCATGGAGGTGTTGGGGTAGGCGACAGAGTGGCAGGCGCCTTGCCATTAGCCTTCACGAGTTCGGACATGGTGATAAATTGAAAAGGAGGGGGATGTATAATATCTTGTAGATTGATCAGGGGTGCTAGCTTGATAGGTGCTTCTTGATTGAACATCTGTTCTTTGCCTCAGGAAATCTGGGGGATTCATGGCTCCTTATATGCCATTCTGTAAACACTCCCTACGCATATATTCCATGGCTTCTTTTGGCAATGTAGAGTTGGGGTATTGGCAGTCACTCTCCCACAAATGCATGGGATTTGTGCTGCATGATGCATGAGCAAGGTATCAACCTTGTTGATGTGATATGGACCAGAAGGCGGCTTGGAGAAGTCTTGCCTTACTGGGCAATAATCCTCCAATATCTTTTTTAAAGTGAGCTTTCTCTGCTTGCTCAGTCATGCAACTGCCGGAGCAGCTCAGCTGTAAGGTGGCAAGGCTAATTTAATTCTGTGTAACTGTGGCAGGGGTCGGCTGGGCTCCATTCTTGGTTTGGTTGCTTGGCAAGAGTCATCTGACCCTAAATTATAAATTTTCATGTTTATTAACTCTTTCTGATTCTTTCTAGCTCTTTTTGACTTTATCTGACTGATTTGTCACATATTCTACCAGGCTGTACTTAAACAAGCTGGATGCTCAAACTTCACACTCCATCTTACTAACTTGTCACCAACTACCGTGGCGATGCCGCAAAACGCCCTATCTGTTGAACATGCTGTTGACAAACTTGTCAATGCTTCCAAACTTGTGGAGCAGCGCCCCGGTCTAAAGCCAGCAGAGGAAGCTCGCGTCATTGATGCTTTCAATTTGATGGCCACCGGCACTGGCATCGGCACTGGTGCAAAGCGGCGAACAGTTTACTTAGAATTCCTCCAGCGCGTCAACTCTGTCCTAGGACGCGACAAAGTTGTCTTATGTGCAGCCATCCTTGGGCCATCTGCTGTGGGTCGGATGAAGGACCGCACAAGGGTAGAGTTACTGCACAGAATGAAGGAATGATCTCGGGACTTTCATTGCGGCGTCCTCCACAGCCTTGGAGATGTATACTTTGCGAGATGTAAGAAACTAACACTACTTAAGTGGGAGAGTGTTAACAACAGTTAGTCTTTCCCCAATGGCACGAAAGCACATCCGACAATACTATGGAGTCAGCTGCGCCAGGTAAGAAAGTGACACCTGTGTCAATACTATGCCCATGCTAAGTAATTCTAGTCGCAACTATGGGAGATGTTTATGAACTCGATATTGATGATGTTGTTGCTGCCATGAGCTCTAGAGACCAAGTTTGGGGAAAGCTGTGGTTAACTGATACATATGCAAACACCTCATCATTCATACCATACCAATATCCGATGAACTGACGCGTTGATTAATAATACAACGCCCACGAGTGATGTAAGAAGGGACTGAGAGAGTGCTAGTCAAGAGCTCACTTGATGATATACCTGACAGGAAGTGACCCTGAGGCTCTAAACCACCAGTTGTTGTTCCAAGGAACCATGACCTTGTGTCTGGTCCACTCTATCCCAACACCATCAATATGGTTGTCGCTATCTTTTTTGTATATCCGAATTCGCCCCTTATCGTGCACTACATCAATAATGATAGCCATGGTGTTATCCGGAGGATCTATGCGAGTTCCTTTTGACAGGTTTGTCCATGAGATTGATTCACAATCACAATTGGTCTGATACCAGTTAGTTCCAACCTCAATAAGCTATGCGAAATTGAAGTACCTCTTCTTTGCATTCTTTCAACAGTTCATTGTCGGTTGCGCCCTTTGTCTCGGACTTTCTCACCATAGCTAATATATTTGTCGCAAAAATATCAATGGATATGTTGGTTGTAGAAGATCTGATCTGGTGATCGCTTCAAACCATCGATCAGGAGAAGTTTTTTGGGTCATATAGTATGTAGCTGTGATAGTTGCCTACAACTAGGCAACTTGAAGTCTCACTGATCAGCACACAAAATAGTAAAATTGCTTTCACTAAAGAATATTACCTCTTCAATGCCCCGACCCGTCCTGTCTTATAACATGTGTAGGAGGAGGAGGAAGCGAACTCAGCCTTGTTGGCCTGTAGTGAGCCTTGCAATGGAGGCTTAAGGTCAAGGAGGTGACTTATTGAGGAACACCTTTCCGGGTTTTTGAGAATTCAGATGGCGACCCAACTCTGGACACGCATGCTGGTTTTCACAGTTTGGCTGCGGCTCCCACACACTGACTGAGCAGCGACAGGAAAGCTTTTCTAATCCTAACTGTACGGAAGCATGTGGGTTGGGGCATGTGACCACATTCACTCACTTCTGTGTTGCAGTAGGGGAATGCTCTCTGAGAAGCTGAGCCCTGTTGAGCTGCCCATTTTTCAAAGAGGGGTTCCTTGCATGTTCAGTGAGGGGCAAACTTAACAGAAAAATAAATTTCCTTTCTGAAATGATGACCAATGAATGCTGAATTTTGCCTCTCTCCATCCCCTTTGGTTTCATTGGGTTGAAATATCAGCCTCTCCAAGGTCTCAATGTACTCCACGACATTACCTGATCAAATTAATTGTTTTAAGAATGGTGTGCTGATGCACTGCTGCCCGAGCAACCATGTTCCATGCAGATGATTGGCTGTAGGGATGGGTTTCAAACCATCAAGTGGGACTTCCCAATCATTGTGGGTGGTCTGAGAATGTCTGGTTGGGCAGCAATAAGGAAGCTGACTCATGGAAACTTATCTTGTTTGTCCATTTAGGAATGACTGGGATTGATTGGGAGGCAACAGGAGGCAAGCCAAGATGTTTGGACAACATGGAGGACCTGGGCACCACAGTCAGCAAGCCAAGATGTTTGGACAACATGGAGGACCTGGGCACCACAGTCAGCAAGCCAAGATGTTTGGACAACATGGAGGACCTGGGCACCACAGTCAGCAAGCCAATGGGATCTGTGATAAGTGGACGCACATTCAGGATTGGGGTGCAGAGGATGCCAAGACTCTAGTGCTGGGCATGACAGTGGTTGTGAACGACACCAGCCATGAGCTCAACATGCTCCTCCTCTCAGGAACCGCCTATCAATAAAAAGCCTTTCTCTTCCTCCCTCGGTGTCAATGCAGTCTGGTATGATAAACCACCCAGACACCCATGATGACCCCTGTATGCCTTGTCCAGTGACGCCCAACCCTTCTTGCAAATGGTGCCAACCCGAGCAGGGTCCATACACATTGTGACATCCATTGAAGTGGCAGAAGTTGAGCCAGCCAGCACCAGCATATTGGGATAATCTATCCAGGATTTGGTTGACCACAGGTGTGTTGAGGGAATTGGATTGAAGAAACACCTGCCTCAAACCTCCTCAGAAACATCATAAGTCTGTTTCTCAACAATCTAGTCTCTGGCTGAAGAAGTGTTGTGGACTTCAGCTTGCTCCTGACCCTCTCTGTGACTGCTTCTCTGAATGCTTAAAGCAGATAAAGAGGTTTTCCAGGCTGGGAGGTCCTGATCTATCTAATCTTAGAAATGTATGTAACTACAAATCCACTGTGTGCATTACTGCTGATGATTTTAAACCAGTATCCTGAACCAATGGCTTCAAGCAAATCCGGCTCCTGTGGTAGAAAGTGATGTGCAGGATCTCTGTCATTGAAATCAAGAAATACCAGAGACACCACAAACACAACAAGTTCCACACTGTACAGTCAAAACTTTCAACAAAATCTGATTGACCATGGAATATATCCTGACGGGTATGAATACCCTGATGGTCAGATACCAGCAATACCTGAGAACTGGAAGGAGATCAATAAAAGATTGGTTTGACCCTGTCCCTCCCTTTTGCCATCAAAGTTCTCTGATAGGGAGTTCTGGAAATTCAAATGAGTGGATACACACGCATCAAAAGAGAAGCCAGTGACAGCCACAGTGATTCCAATTATTGAAGGTGATATCAGCAATCCTAAATGTACTGGAGGAGGATATCTATTTGGAAATCTTGCTCACTTAACCAATGGCATGCTATCTCAAGCTAAACCAGATCACTTCTATGGTGTGTGTCCTAAACAGCTTGATCATCAAATCTGCAAGGATCTTAGTGACCAGATTATTCTGTCAACACAGGATAATCTTCCCATGGCACCAAACTTCTTTTTGGAGACAAAAGGCTCTGATGGATCTCTTGCTGTAGCTATATGGCAAGCTTGCTATAATGGCACATTAGGGGCCTGAGGCATGCATTCACTTCAGATGTATTGACAAGATAAATTGATCTACAACAACAATGCTTACACTATTATGTCAACTTATCATGGTGGTCAACTCAAGCTATATGCTACTCATCTTGCAGAGCCTAGAGGTCTGGGCTGCTGTCCTGAATATATTATGACTCAGCTCTGATCATTTTTCTTGACTGACATGTATGACACTTTTTGTCAAGGACTTGCTGCATACTGAAATGCTTGTGATTGGACAAAGGAAATGAGGGATGAATTTATTGCAGTGGCAAACAAGCATCTCTCAGATGCTCAATCACAACACCAGACTGCTTCAAGTGTAGCTGTTTCACAGGATTCTGATGCATCCAATGAAACTGAGTATCAGGATGTGCAATGGAGCTTCGCGGCTCCTATTGAAGGTGGAGAAGAAGAGTTTCAAACTGAAAGCAGAAATCCCAAAAAGCAGAGGGTTGGTTCTATAGTTTCTGGTGATTGAGTTAGCAATAATCCCACTGAATGCCCAAACTGAATGGAACTCTTAGGGTACATAGGTCTATCAGAGGCCATTTCAGTGCTGGTTGCCTGGTTTTGGGTCTTGTTGACATAGGTCTTCATGCTGTCCATGAGCGCCTTTATCATGGTTGAGTTGGTACCCTGTTCTTTCCCAGTAGATTCTTGTGGTACTGTTCCAGTAGCAATGTCTGCTAAAATATGGGTTGCGTGTTTGTAGGCTTTGGGTGGCTGTATGCTTATTGCAGCAATCCAGTCACTTGTCCACACTGGCATGAGAATACACCTGCTAGCTCCTGTCCCTTTTGTGATGAGCAAATTCTCAATCTCAGGCGGCATGTTCAATACCAAGATCCACAGTGTCATGCTCTTCAAACATTAAGAAAGGACAATGACAGAGACCTTCCCATCATGAGATACCTGTCTTAATCTCGCGGCTTCCACATGAGTCCAGAACTTGGTCCATGAAGATCAGCTGAAGGTCAAGATTGTGATCCAATGCCATGTTCTGAGCTATATTAAGCTCCAAGATTGGTAACTGTGCGAGTACCAAGGCAGTTACCAATATATATAGTTTGCAAAAACTTGCTTCTTGCCACATCTAACTTCCATCACTCCATTTACTTGGTAAGAAAAGAAAACTTGTCTATTCACACCCTCTATCTTCACTCTCCCAAGCAAGTTACCCTTGATTTCCTATCACTTTGTAACCTCCGGGGTAATATTCTGAAGCGTGAAAACTGATATATTTATCTTTACCTTCCTCGCGAACTGGAAATAAATAATGGAGCCTACCAAGAGGGTTATGCTTCAAGTGGGCGACCGGCACTTCCCAACAACTGTTGGAACGCTGACTCAATGTAGTGAGTACTTCACAGCCATGTTTTCAGGAAGATGGTGCCTTGACAAGCAGGAAGATGGCTCTATCTTTGTCAATGGGAACCCAAAGCTCTTTGAGCATCTTCTGGAGTTTCTTCTAAGAGGAGTTTTCCTGCTGGCCTATGACAAATGCAAGGGCCATGACTACCTCTTTTACACTCAGATCTTGGAGGAAGTGAAGTATTTTGACTGTCCCTTACTTGTCTTGTGGTTGGAAGATGGGTGTTATGAGAAGTGTGTCTTGATGAACTTTTCCTCACACATTAAGGACTCTCCATTCTTATTGGGCAGTGTGAGCTCTGTCCATCTGCAATGTGTCACTGAAGAGAAGGTTCCCCTTTGCCCAAGAGATATTTGGTTGCATAGAGGTGATTCATGAAGGTGTGGCCATAAGTGCAGAGTCCTTCTGGGAGATGATGAGCTGGAATTTGAAATGGAGAGGACTACTACTGGATGGCTTGTTGTTAGAGAGGAACTTACCATTGACAGAGGTTGGATGACAGACAGTGGGTATGTTGATACCTTTTATGGAGTTGAGATATTTCCAGGCTAATCTTATTCCAGATCAAAATTCGTCGCCTTCAAGCAGTGAAAGGATGAAGGTTGTTAATGGGGAGGTCAAATTTAGTACCCTGTTCTGCCCTACAAAGATTGTAGTTCTAATGTTCTGCTGCTGGGGATATCTTGTGAGGGATTCTTCATTGTCTGTGGGATCAGATGTCAGTGCTGTGCAGATTGGATGCACAGAGGTTGCCTTTTGAAGTCGGAGGTACTTAATTGGTCATATACAAGTGGCCTGTTTCGAATATTCTTGCTTTTAGTACTGTAATGAAACAACCAAACTGTAAAATTTACAGACCTCTTGACTATCCTTTTCAAGTAGTGTTCTCATCCTAGCGTGCTCAGTAGTATTCTTGTAGGATGCAGAGGGGTGCTTGGTGGTCTTCGCGTCAACAGAGAAAAGTTTCCCCGGAAGGCTTGTCAACAAAGGCTATTGTTGGGAAACTGGTAAAATTGTGTCTGAGGGTTGGACTGCTGGCCTGGATTTTCTGTAGCATCTGTCGCGTCCATCGCATCCATCGACATCCATTGCATCCTGTCCAGCCTTGGGGACGGCCACAAACCTCCATAGTTCATGGCCCATAGAGATATAAGGCTGGGGGCATTGGGGCTGGTCGTGGTTTGTGGTCCGTATGGACGGAATGCTGGGAGCATTGGGGCAGGCCACAGAGGCTCATGTTTCGTGGTTTGTGTGAATAGAATGCTGGGAGGATTGGGGCGAGCCACAAACCTCATGGATCATGGCGGATGTGGGTAGAATGCCGGGGATGCTCGGGCCGATCACCATGGCGCTAAGAAAAGGTTTCGGCTGGAAAAATCTTCCACTGAAAAAGACCATAATGACAATGGACAACTAGAGAGGAAGCAAGATGGGCACATGCCACTGTGTAATATACATGCAGCAAAATGTTTTTGGTGAGGCAGTGTGAGGTTTGCTGACAGACAACTCACCATCCACCGCCAAAGTGAGCGGGGATAGGTGGCCAACTTTGGCGCCCAAGGGCATGGTGGTTGGATGGGTTGTGGTGAAACTGTGGACCTGTAGCAGCGTCTGGAAGGTATCCGCACTGTGGCTGTGTCCCAATGCCATGCATGTCTGTGTTCAGAAGCTGGTTTGGGGGGAGCTTGATGTCACCTGATTCAGATGATACTGGTGTTAAAACACGAGACCGAAGAAGGGCCTCTTGTTCCATATTGTGGATGACTCCACAAGACATTAGCAGTTGCGGCTGTGGTTGGAATTCCTGTGGGCTGGTTGCAGTGTAGATGCCATAATCCTCTCCAGAATTCCTTTTGTATTCATTTGGAAGAGAACTGAAGTTGGTTCATGACGCATCTGGTGAAGAATATATAGACCCTGGCCGAGAACTTTTCGCTCGCAACAATCTTCTGTTCAAAATCATTAGTATTGGTTTAACAGGTTGTTATCATTTATCTGGACAGTCAAACTTACACTTTTTTAGCTGTCCGGGTAGGACGCTTTCGTTCCCGCTTTCGTTCCCGAATAATACATTCTAAGCCACCGAGTTTGCAAAGACAGCAAGAAGTACCATGCTCTGAGAAACTACATCGTACTTTGCGAGCTCTGCACGACTGACAAGCTTTTTCAGCATGTTTTCTTTTTGCACACCCATCAGCACTATCCATGCCGGCTTCTGATGTGCCATGTTTAGGTGCAGGCTCTCCCAGTGGCGCTTCAGGTGCTGGTGCAGTATCTTTTGTCTCCATATTGGGTTGAATATCAACAGCACTTGTAATCGTGTCTGGCTTCGGGTCGGGGCTTGATTCCACACCCGCACCGGATGAGGAATCTAGTTTTTCTTTACCAGGTTTTGGCCTGTCGATAACATATACCATGGTATTGGCGCCTGTTAAATGTTAACATTGGCCGAGAATACAGGAAGGAGTACTCACTTATTTCCCCCCTTTCATAACTTTCCTCCATCCTCCGGACCATGTATATCTCTTCCAGGATATCCCATCTCTCTCTTGGTTTGATCTGGCGTTGAACATCCCTTCCAGCTTCTTCAAGTTTATCAGCTGTGATATTATGGGATATCGCGAGTTCACGGATAAGATGAGTCAAGAGCCGGAGACGAGCTGTAAGGCAGGTATCAGTGATTGTTGCTGGCCGCTTCTCAGGCTTTGAACCCACCAGATTTCTTCAGGTGATCTGGTTCTTTGTGCATAACACTAGAAGGCCACCAGTCTGGCTTAGTCCTTTCTGGATCCCCTTTCTCACCATCGGCACCTTGTCCTCCATTATAAGGGTGTTTGGTCTGTTTCTTTGGCTCAATAAGCTTGATCCAGGCTTTGGAGATTGTGCAGCAGTTTATTTGCTGGAATCCACTGAAAGCCACATGATAGTAGGACCCAATCTTTTCTCGATCACCAATCTGGAGTCCAACCCGATCTTCTTTGACATACAAATCATTGAATGTTTCCCAGCGGGTCTGTTCGGAGGGTATGTGATATGGTTTCAAGCCTGCCAAGTGAAGGATCCTGTCCTCGACATCCTGGCCAAAAATATGGTGGCAACTTTGTTCGACTGATCGCGAAGTATGATATCTGATGTTCCCGGCGTCATCAATGGCGAAATGTGGATATAAAATTCTCATCGGCTAGAGGAGAACAGTCAGATTTCCCCGATGGCCGGAATAGAGGACCAGGAGTACTCACATCAGTAGGCTCCCAGCCTTGGGGCCTCCCATCAGTCATTGCGGTAGTTGAAGTTGGGACCTCTTAAGTTCAGCTGGGACTGGTAAATTGCCAGTGTGGAGGAAGGATTTTCAATCATCATTGGTAAGGATGGGCATCAAATGGTTCATAAAACTGCTTGGACAAAGTCTCAAAGAATGGAAGGGGAAAGGAAAATATGGTTCTCTGGAGAAGGGCGGGTACAAATACCTTGATGCAGGCGGGAAGCCGGCCCAACAGGTGATCAGCACATCAACATCACCCCTTCCTGTGCATTGATACAGGACCATTTCCCCATGCTCCATCACACCTTGCATTCAATTGGAGTCTGGAACAAAGCATAACCAAGATATCAATCCCTGATATTCTGCCGAGCTCAGATAGCTGAGGTTTTAGTGCTCTTCCAGGATGTAAGCCTCCCAAGCCCAGAAAGCCTCTGTGCACCCAAGAGCAAATGCATCATGTTGTCCAATCACCACCGGTTCCCCTTTAATCTTGCGTTCCTCCAGAATCTGGGGTCATCAAGCCGAGATGTTCGAAAGATCTAATTTAGCTCGAGCTTCCGTGCTCTGGAGGTATCTATCCTTGTTCAATGGCTGAAGCTTTACAGTATGGCGCTAGCATTGTGGGCTATGTAGGATTATCTAATACTTTAAGGTTTTGGACGATCATCGCGGAAAGGGGACACAGAGCCAGGACAGAAATTCTGAGCAGGGAGTTAAGGTTTGAGCTCTTTTCTAGGATGCAAGCCCCTGAGGGTGACAAGGGCAGAGTGCCAAGCCAACTGCATCCACCAAAGCTAAAAGTATCTGCTTAACACAAGACGTCTCATCAGCTTAGTAATGAACCGGCGGAGTCCAGCTGGTAGATTCCCCATCTCCGAAAAATTTTGCTTCTTGTTGTAAGCCTTTGTCCAAATCCTCTGCAAAATACCTACGCCTTGGGTGTTTCTTTGGTGGCTTATAATTTGGCTGATTGGCGGCATCCAAAGAATGAACATATATGGCAATTGCACCACACTCTTCTCCCAGCCATGGCATGGGTAATCTTTGTCTTTACTGAAGCATCTCAACTAACTCGCCTATGTGGTATACTCAACCACTCAGAGCCAGCCATTCCGCGTATGACTTCGCTGGTGGTCACGCAAAAGGTCAGGCTTTGCAAATCTTTTTGAGCACTCAGGGCAGATCAAAGGCTTCTCATCTGCCTCTGTGTCAGTCTATATTCTCAGTTCAACTAGCGGCACTTACATCTCTCTAGATTTTGGCCGAGATGGCTCTCGGATGGCTTAGCAGACATCTCAGAAACCAAGAAATCTTCAGTCAGACTGCTGGTAGGTAAAGACCAAGCATGACTTGAACCAGGCACAGGCAGAAACCTGATCAGGAGCTCTGTGTTGACCCATTGTGCATTATCCCACCCTGGATCTCGCGCGTTTGTTTGATACAGGTGTGCGATGGAACTAAGGGCTTGATGAGAACCGGCAAGGGGAAGAGGGAGTCTCGAGCTTGGACTGGCATTGATCTCATCTCCCTCCCGGCACCCTTCCCCGGTGTCAATCTCCGGGTGGACAACAATTCAAGACAGTCCGGCCATCCTCGAATTTTTGCCGACTGTGACCTAGGTCGGCGATCTCAGTTCACATGAGAGGTTCAAACATAAAAAGGCCAGATTCCACTGCAGTCTTTCCTCTCACTCCAAAACTCTTGATTTATACAACCCAGTACTAAACACTCAGTCAGTCATTATTGATTAAAACTTTGGTAGGCCAAAAGCTCACCTATGTCCATAGCAGCACTTTTTTTTTGTGGCAACATTCTTCTTGCTAGACGGAATAGGGAATTTTACCAGATTTTGTACAATTTACCGAAATTAGGAAGAGGGTAGAAGCCCGCAGGGAAGATAGTTTAAGAAAAGAAATATACCCTTTACACATGCGTTCAGCTTCCCCACCTTGGTGAGAACACAGCTTCATCAAATATTGCCGCATCACTGCTACAATAAAACCGTGGGAAGGCATCCTAAACTAAAATATCGGATGGGTATTCGAAACTAAAAATAACAAAAAAAGAAAACAAGCTTTGATGCCCATCCATTCTTGCTGAGGCGCTATTCCTTTTTCAATCTAAATTCTCAGTCTGTTCGGAGACTCGCGGCTCCACCCCACGTGGGCCTGGACCGTTGCCATGCAAGATCCAAAGGGTTTTGATTGGGCAAACAGATGAGAGAAGGAAACAACATGTAGCCGAGAATAAGGACAACTAAGAAAGAGGTGCGATGTATACAAAGCTGAGGTAAGACAAAGGAATATGATAGACAACCACTCGCCCGGTACCCCTCAAGAAATTATACCCTTTGTCCCCGGCAGCACAACAGTTCTCAGAGAATACTTTGCGTGAGGTCAAATTGGCGCAACTAGAATCTGGTAAAGGTCACTCGGTCAAAGACTGTAGAATCGGCCATTCATGCTTCAGGGATTTTATATTCAACAAACTGGCGCAGTGTCTCGGTTTCAGGAAGCCTAGCCTCAAAAATCAATTGTATATGATTGGTTTGGAGAACGGCATCGACAAGAACTCCATCCCAACGCAATTTCCCCGCAGGAGATTTAAACCAGACAGCAAACATGTTCAACACAAGGTAATGTAGAGCTTTCGTTTCAAGATTTTCCCATGGGGCATGACAGTTTGTCATTTGTAGCAAGAAATCATGGAGATTCTTAGAAACTCTGGGGTTGACATCTGATAAATCTTTGAATCATATAAGAAGGTCGTAGGCAGAGAAGGTTTCGGACAACGGGTCTAGTTTTGGTAAACTGTTGCTGAATTTAAGAGAAAGTTTCTTACCCCGGACTTGGTCAAGAATCTGAGGCTCATTAAGAATGACAAGTGCCTTAAAATATGATTTCTCAGGTATAATGATTTTCTTCAGGGCGCCATCCTCTTTATCCACAACCAGTTCTCATGGTACAAGAATATGATTTTGAAAAGTCTGCAACCGTCAGCAGACCAGATTGTAGGAAGGAGGGTACTGTTCAAACCACCAACCTGGGGCTCTTGTGGGAGCTTTTGCGGGGTGTTTTCATGCGGCAGAGTCTTTGCGTGAACCGACTCTGCACTCCTTGACTGGTTCTGCTGTTTTGGTGCGGGCTCGGCGATTGAGCGGTCGGCTGGTGACTTGCATTTCTGGGGAAGAAGAGCATCCGATTTGGGATCCTGGGCAGTCAAAAGATTGAGTATATCTTCAACTCGCCCATCAACCCATCCCAATATTTTATCTTCCGACGCCTGGATTCTGTCTAACATGGCTTGTGTAGATCTCTCATGTCTGCAAAAATCAGCTGCAAAGCTAGAAAATTAAGCTGAATACTACTCACTTAACAGGACTAATAGCTGTATAGACACACTGAACATTGTTCTCCTTACAGCGACCACACGAGGGCCGACCTTCGTCGCATTTCGCCCTGCGAGCTTGACATGAATTGCAAGCCTATGTAAACACATTAATAAGGGACATTTGAACAGGAAGGGAAGTGGTAAAATCCAGACCTGCAGGGCTTGTGTATTTTTTTGATGTCCCCCGTCGGCTGATTGACCTTTGGGGACAGGCATTGGCGGGCCAGATATATTTACAGGTTTTGAATACATTTCTTGCGGGATGTGTGAGGGTTCTCGGGGAGGGCCAGTGTATGGAAACGCCGGAGGATGACAGGGTTTGGGATGATACGGCCAGTTCCAAGGCTCAGATAGGATTTGTTGTTGTTGAGGTGCAAGAGCATGTGGCGGTGGTTGTTCCGACTGCGACAGCTGGTGAACCGCCAGTTGAGGAGGAGGAGCGCAGCCAGGGACAGGACATGAGGAGACCATTGGGAACTATTATTGCCAATAATTTTGAAGTAGCAGGAGGGTAAAACCAAAAAAAGATTTGACCAAACTGAATGAGACCGATCCTGTCAGTTCCCTCTCGACGACCACCGTGATTGCAGAACAGATGGCTTCATAATGGGAAATAGGGATCAGAGAGCATAAATATATCTGAAATTTTGAGCTAGGCAAGAAGAAACTGGACTCCAGATTCACAGCAGGTCTCCAGCATCCAGCTTTATACCAATGCATTGCAGCCCCTGTGGCAGAAGGTCCAGCCTCATTAAAGTTATAGATTTCGTGAGCGGGCCATCGCGATGGCCAGGGATCAACAAAACAATCATACACCAAAATTCATCTTTCCAGTCAAAATCTGCAAGAACCGCATCGTGTTGGACCCCTGAGCAACAGTGATGATCCCACTCATCGAGCCATATTTTTCGTGGCTTTCCAAGCTGGCTTGCCAAAAAGTGGTTGATATATTGCCGTGTCTCAATGGAGGTGATACAACCAAGATCGCCCGCGGCAAGCTTATCACTAACTAACTCGCAAATGGACTGGACGGAGCCTAGCCACCCCTGGAACTTTGTCTTCCGCTCCGGTGAATTTTCGGTGAGAATACGACGATGTAGCATAAATGCGAACGTGGATGTTGGCATGTCCAGGGCCCAGTCAAATGCTTTCAGTTCAGCTCGAGCCTGTTGATTGAGTCTCCAGCAGATATCTATTCTCACAGGATTACCCCAGTGGATCAATTCACCAAAGGCATATTCATTGAAAATAGGAACTGCCATGACGAGGGGTTGGTTGAGTGTGATGAGAGGATTGCTTTCTAAGTACCGGTGGAGTAGAGGAGGCTGATGTCTTAGAATTAAGAGAGATCTGCAAGGTAGAGCTATGTATTAATGACAGGAAGCACGGAGGGCGATAAGGGATGCCAGTCTATATACAAGACACTCGAGGGCGTTGCTAAAGCTTGAAGGGCGGCGCTATTCCTCTTTTGATTTAAAGCCTCGGCCCGCGCACGGCCCATGTGGGGATGAGTGTTTCCTGCCCCACAAAGAAAGCCCCACTGCCATGCAGGTTCGCAAAAAGCCTTGATTGAGCGGGAAGCAAAGGGAAACAAGTGCATAAGGGAGAGAAGTCAAAAGCGGGAAAACACATAAACAAATGAGAGATGCTGGAAGCAAGTGGAAATGGATCAGCGCCGGCCTGAATACCAACACCGAGAGGATCAAACTGGGGGTCACACAAGATTATCCGAGCTGGCGGACTGCAGTTCCTGACCCCTTGACGATACATCAACAAAACAATGCTGCCAGGAGTAGAATGCCATAGCCATTGACATCACAGCCGTCAGATGATCCAACTGGACGACCGCGAACTGGAAGACGGCACAACTAACACCCATCAAAGCCAGCACAACGCAAAAAGCCCTATCTCTTCGGAACATCTTAATTGGTGTCTTGGATTCAGGCCTCTCACAGGACAGCTGACGCGACATCCACTGAGACATAAACAAGAAAATAACAGTGTCAAGGCTTTGCAGTAGCAAAATAGATGGAAAGAGTGTAGGAAGGAAGAAAGGAGTGGCGGCACAGCCTGTTTGGAGAAGGCCTATGAGCCAGATGCTGTATTGAGCATAGATGTATGGGGTTCGGGAGAGCTGAGAGGCTACACTCCTGAGTCTGATAATCTAGGACAAGGTCAGCTTGGCTTTTTGGGGAAGGCCTAGATGCACAAACCTCGTATTGAGGGTGGAAGACCGTGGACAAGCCTAATAGGAGCTGACGCAATTGGGAGTCTGGAGAGTTAGCTTTGCTACAAAACTAAGAAATCTCAAACTCACCTCCGGTGAAGCATGCAGCAATGTATGCAGCCAAATCCGTGATATGGAGAAGTGATCCAAGATAAAGAATCCAATTGATGTACCGACTCCGAGGATTGGACCATAAGGAAATGGTAATCAACAAGGCACAAAACAAATTAAACAGCACCTCAATCAGAGCATGATGGATTAACGAGTAAGCAAGTTTCTGCATATTCGCTTGCGACGGAAGGCAGCCGGTTGCCTTGTTGGGATCAAGGCTGATCGTGCATCATCATAATTCTGGCCCAAGACAGCCAAAGGGCGGTAAGAGCTCTTTTATGGTTTATGGCCAGCATTACTTGAGCTGAAAATAATCCCCCCATTACATCCCCAAGATGGCAGCCACTGTCCTGGTGAAGCGATCGCTAAAGACTGGAGACACAGGATAATCCAGGACAGACTCAGCTGCATTAGGGGTGCTCGATTCGCCACACCCAGTGACGCAATGTTTACCAGCTGGGCAGTTGAGAAAAATTGTGTTGATTCCCATGGCATATTTTTACCATTGAGTAGGAGAAAGGAGCATTACACTCAAGAGAAGACAAGGTGTTCGGCGCTAGTCTCGAAAAGTGCGAGGAAAGCCCGTGACGTGTTCCTGATCATCAGAAAAGTTCTTGTCGTGGACGCTAACAATGCAATACAGGGAAGCGCAACTGAGCAATGAGATGCAATGGCTTGGTTCCAATTGAGTTGGAAGCGTGTGGAATTATTGTATGATCAGTGCTCCCGTACTGATCATATAATAATTCTTCCCCCCACCTCCATCACGACCGCCCGAACCTAATACTCCATCCACTGTTCCACCACTCCAAGATGGAATGGGGCGAATCGGCGGGTATTCCAAACTGTGCTGAAGACATGGAAGGACCGGCGAATCTTCATCAGAGAGAGGATGTTCAACAACGCCTCATTGAACTAGGTCATGTTCTTGAACAATTTCCAGAGTCAAAAGTCAGTATTCATCAAACCTCATTTGAACTGGTTACTGATTGACTGCCAGGCCCTCGGCGAATATCTCAAAGACGTGAGTGCCGGCTTGGTTAATGGCAACACTCCGGACTTCAATGACTTTCATTCATTCTGGTATCGTCGCAAATGGTGTTTTGCACTCAAGGAGGTGAGAAAACGAACCTCGACACGCAACCAATCTGGGCAGGGGGACGATATATCTGAATGAATTGAGGACGAGAGCGAATATGATGAGATACTTTCCATCACGGACACTTGGGATGTGCGATTGGATGAGCTGGAGGTATTGAAGAATGATGTGCAGCAGTGTCTGGATGAGAATCGAAGCATCTTCGAGCTTTCAGAGGCAGCACCCAGAGAGGCGACATCTACAGGATACCGGGTTAGAGAAAGTGCCCCCCCTCCAGCTGAGGATACCTCAGCAAGCAGGAATCAGCTTGAAGATGCTTTGAGTCCTGGCGTTATCGGGGCCGAAAGGGCTTACAATTCAATTGAAAAGGATGCGAATGGGGCAAAGAGGGTTTTCAAAAAGCAGGTGCTGGCCTTGAGGCTTGGACCTTTGGAGCTTGAGGCTGGAGCCTATTGTGCCCAGAAACGTGTTAAACGCGACGCGTGTGTAATTGTATACGTCTCGGAAAAGTGCTGGTCGCACCTCCCTCCCACAGTATGAAAGTGAAAGACGGAAAACCTCGCGTGCTGGTGTGGCCATGGAGAAAAATGGCTTTCACTGGAAGAACCTTCAGTGCTGCTGTCTTTCTGCCATATCCCAAGTGACCATCGGTGCTTTAACGAGTTTGAATGACGACGTCGGGAAACTCCAGCGTATAATGCTGTCATCCGTACGCTACAGGTCATGTGTATGATTCATGCCCTGAGGGAACTGTGGTGTCGCGAATTGACCTGGAAGTTTGTTAAGCCCGAGCACCATCTGGGGCGCTGTTTTTGCAAGAATGCTGAAGATCAGGCGAACTCCATGCAACATGAGGAACAAGGAAAGAAAGGGCAGACACAACTTTTCCAGAAATGACTATGTCAATCTGCTCCAACTGCATGTAAATGTCCGCGTGCCAATACTCATGATCCTAGAAGTGAAGTACATGATCTTCCGCTCACACCTGTTGATGATAGGAGTGGATCATCCACAGATGACAGCAATAGCACAAGGGATCCTATTGGGGGTTGCATCTTGGTTGAACTGGCCAACCTTGAAGAAGCGGCAGCTGCTGTAGACCTTCTGGGCAGCGGGCACTTTGAGAACCAATTAATTTCTGAAGGGGAGGACAGATCCGAGGCAGCGAGCGATGGCACTGCAACTGAATGCCCATGTACCTTTACCCATGATGAGCATGGCCTTTTGCTTGATTCTGTTCGAGCTGGTAGCGTCGCTTCCACCGAAGATGGCCACACCGCAGGGCAAGGTGGTGTTGCATCCTCTAACAATGAACAATCACCTGAAGAATTGAGCCACACGAGTGCAATAGATCCTGCTGAGGGAATTATACCACAGCAGCAGACAGCGGGCTATATGTTAAACTTAGAGATGGCTGATTGTGTGAATAATCAAGGACTACCATCCTCTACAGAGGGACAGGGCGCTCAAAATGTAAGACCTCCATCTGTTCTTTTTAGGACCTCCACTAATTGCTATTTTCAGTGGCCAGTTACTCCGAAGCCAATCACCAATGCCGAAAGTGATGAACATTGGGTGTACTACGCAGCAGACTTGCATGCTATTCGCAGCGTCTTTGGTGATCGCTTTTACAATGCCGTCGAGGGCTCCCCAACACGGATGTGTGAGAAAGTAAAAAACCAAACCCTTCGGACAACAGAATGTGTGAAGATGAAGTTCCCTCGACAGAATTTTCATGATGCTATCGCCTGGGTGGAAATCGGAATGGCTGATGACCTTGTCAGGATTTTATTTCCGCAAATGGACTGGAGAATTCCCTTACTTCTCCCAAAAAATCCGGTAGCTAGCTACGCACAGCCGCCAGTTGCGGTATCAGAGAACCAAGGGATGTCAAGGTCGATATCAAATATTGGTGAGCAGAAGAATTAAGCCATTGAAGCTCACGTCTAATTGATTATTTATAGATACAGAGGATCACAGGTACATCACCTTACAAGGGGCATCTGTTTCAGGAATCTCTTCAATTTTTAGCCCATCTGTTTGCGATGTGATTGAGAATAGCCAGCTACGAGCCTGGGAAAAAAATAATCTGCTTCAAGATACAACTGACTGTGTTGCAATGGAGATCTGTTGTAAGCAGCCTCATCACAGCACCATCTGTTTGCGGATTGAATTCATTGTGGGAACTTTCATAGCTAATAATTTGTATGCGAGTGACGATGTCCTTTAATTATATCATGCAGTCCTCGACTTCCCTCTAACAATATAAACACCAATGTTTGCAGGCAGCATATCCATTTGTCCATCTCCAGCTGTAGTCCAAATTCTCTCACCCTTCTCATTCTGAAACTCGATGCTCTCGCATTCAAAGCAATATAGTTTTCTTTCGTAATTTTCCGCTAAGATATAATTTATCGCATGTTTTTTGCAGTTCGCGAAAAAGTCCGCCGATACGGCTAGTTTGCTCCAGCGGCTGCGCTGCGGAACATTAGCCGACCGGTTTCTATGACAGAGGTGCCCGTAACAATGCGTACCAAAGCCTCTTCCGTAACTTCTTCCGTCATACCAAGCCAAGGTGTAGTGGTCGTTTCGGTTTCCTCTTTGCTGAATGTTCTTCACCGTTTTTGTCAGTATCATTCATAGTCATCAGGATCAGGGCGGAGGTACTACCTCTTCTACACAGCTAGGCGATACAGTTAGGTAGGTCTACTTATGATATTAGCAATATACAGGCTTGGTAGATGAAGAGACATGTCACCTTTGCTAGTTGATGGAGCCGTCTGCTTTCAGTAGATGGGTGGTTTCCGCTCGGAAGTCGATCAAGGAACGACCCCAATATATAAAGATTATTGTAGGGGAATAAGTCGATGGATGCTCAAGAGAGATTGATTTTGGTGTGGGAGAACCAAATTTCAGGTTGCCCTATTGCATTGGAAGCACATTGATGCTTTCTCATGGTTCTTCCAGAAAGGTGGTGAGGGGTCATCAACCCAAGGGAACACGAAAAAAAGATTTGATTAAAACTACGTCACACTTTGAGGTGGATTTGCCGATATTCCAGGTCTGCGGGGCAGGAAAAGTGGTGTGGCATGGCCATGTGACATTTTCCACCCGACAATGATTGAATAACACACCCATTGGGCTTCGTTGTTTGGGTATCCCAACGGGGAAAGCTCCAACACCTCTTTGTAAAGATCCAAACTTTCCAGCAAAGGCTGCCAGTTTTGAAAGTGGCCTGGATTGACGCGCCACCACATATTCTCTTTTTCTAAACTTATTTTTGTCTATAACTTATCTAGGTGAGTAAGTTGCACTGTCAAGTATTTAGAATGGTTGACCCTATGCAAAAAACCGAACAAACCATTTCAAGGCTCGGCCTCATCCCAAACACTAACACCTTTTCGAAGGTGGGAAAGAGCAATTTCAAAATGGAAAATAAAAAGCCCACTGCATCACGTCAAGAAAATCGGCCTGAAACGTGGGAGCAGACACTTTTCGCCTGCCCCTCCACCGTTTTGGAGGGCTTGGTCTGATAGTGGGTCCGGAAAATTGTTAGTGCCCAACCGAGAAATGGTCGGAGTGATGGAGGACTTGTATGCTTGTCATTCACTAAGCTACCTAAAGGGGAATCTCGGCTAATCTATGTGGGTCACGTGAGCAAGGTGCTAGTTGGATTACCTAACACCCCCCCATGCAACGAGCTCCAGCAGCAAGCAAGAGCCACAAAGATCCAAAGCTTCCAAATCTCTCAAATCCATGATAAAAATTAATTACAGAATCCAGATTTATTCCTTCTTTAGGCTTAGCTCCATTTCACCACAATACCATATTTTTGCTGGCTTCACTGATAAACCTTCATATTTTTCTGTATCAACTCATCACCCCTATCACGCTCACAAATTGAGTGTAGGGATCCATTGCAAGAGCCTTTGTGAGCTCATCAGCTTTATTCATGTTGGTTCCAACATGCTCAATTGAGATTTCATTCTTTTGAACCCAGTCTCTTAGCATATGGTGCCAAATCTCAATGGCATGCTCTTCACATTATAGCTTCAGCTTTGGCTAAGTCAACCACTCCCTTGTTGTCAACACTTAATTTTGAGCTTCTTAGCTTTGCTGAGCCTTCACTAATCACCCCAGTGTCTATCAACAGGTTGTTGATTCAAACTAGTTCACAAGCAGCTTCACTAGCTGCCAAATACTCCACTTTGGTTGTTGATTTCAAGACAGACATCTGGTGCTGTGATCTTCATGATATTGGAGCTCCATTCATGATAATAATGTAGCCACTGGTGGATTTGTATACAGGATCAGCTCCAGCCCAGTCAGAATCCAAACTAGTCACCAGTTTCAAGCCTTCAGAATTCATATCTCTTTTGAAGACTATTCCTTTTGATTTTGTGCCCTTGAGATAGTGTAGAATCTGCTTGAGCACCACCCAGCTTTCTCTATTGGGCCTGCTGTTGAATCTCACCAGATAATTGACTGCAAATGCAATATCCAGCCTCATACATATAACTAGGAACTGTAGAGAGCCCAGGCCTTTTCTGTAATTTATAGACATAGCCTGCTCATCAACTCTATCTTTAAGAGTCTGATCTGGTGTGAATTCAATGCTTATTTCTTTCTTCATTGGCATTTTGAAAGATTTACAGTCTTCCATTTCATATTCAGTCAGTAGATTCTCAATATACTGTTCCTGGTTCACAAAAAGGTCTCCATTCAGCTGCTTTTGAACCCACATGTCTAGGTAATGACCTTGTTTCATAATCTTCTTGATCTTGAAGCATTCCTGAAGCTTCTTAATGAGCCATTCTATCTTGGCTTTGTTGGGTTCTATTATACAGCAGTTGTTAATGTGTAGGGTTAGATAGATTCACTTTCTCTTGTGATAGAGTAACCCTGCATCATATGAAGAGATCTGGAATTCTAGAGATTTCAGATAGCCAGTAGCTGCTTGATACCAAAGCCTAGCAGCTTGCTTCAACTTATAGAGTCCCTGGTGTAAGAGCTCTACTAGATTACCCCACCCATACTTGAATCCAGTGGGTAGTTGAATGTATACACATTCATTCTCTGGAAGAGTTTTATTTAGAAAGGCTGTCACAAAGTCAAAGACTCTGATCTTCCAGTTCTTGACTGTTGAGATAGCAAAGAAGGCTCTTATTGTAGGTCCACTAACAACTGCTGTATAGATTTTCTTGTAGTGAATGTCTTCTTGCTGTTCAAATCTATATATGACTCAATGGGCTTTAAATTGTACTGTGCCATCTGTGTTGTTGAGCTTCCTATCAAATACCTATTTGCCAGAGAGGATCTGCATTTGGGGTTCCTTCTTAACTAGAATCTAGATGTCTTTCTCTTATAATTTGGAGACTTCAATATCTAGAGCCTTCTTTCAATAAAGCCACTCTTCAGAGCATTTGGCTTCAGCAATGGATTTTGATATATCTGTACATATACTGAGCACTGGAAGCTCAGCTTCATTTGTCTCTTCTTTCTCTGTAGTATCTGAGAGAATTTCTTGCTCTTCATCCAGGTATGTGGGCTCTAAAGTCTCTAATTTGCCATCCACAAGCTTCTTCATGATTTCTGGCTTCTCCTTCACAAGGTAAGCTAGTAGCTTGTGTTGCCAGCCATTCAGTGGATCTATGTAATCATACTCCTCTGAGAGTTCAACATATTCAGCTTCAGTTAGTGAATTTGTAGGGATTTGATCCAATTTCTCATCAAATATAACATCTCATGAGATTATTATACTGTTCATTTCTGGGTCCCAAAGCCTGTAGATGTGCATGCTACAATATTCTACAAATTTGATCTTCTTGGATCTAGATTGGAGCTTCAAGGATTCATTCAAAATCTTCATGTAGGTGTCACATCCCCACCTATAGACCCATCTGCAATGGGGTTGGTGACCTGTCCAGGCTTCAAAGAGTGTCAATAGCTTCATGTTCTTGCATCTGTATAGAGGCACTGAGGTAGGCAATAGATTCACCATTATGGAGACTGTGGCAAGAGCTTCACCCCATAACTCATTGGGTAGTCCTGAGTCTATAAGTACACTTCTTGTTTGCTCGCAAAGAAGTCATATTCCTTGTTCACTCATTCCATCTTGTTGAGGTGTATATGGGCATGTAATCTCCTGTTGTATACCCTTGCTCCTGTAGAATTCAGCATCATTCTGCGCAACATTTGGAGTTCACTCTCCTCCCTAGGCTCCTGCTTGTTGTTTGGCGGGCTGCCTCTGAGCCTACTCAACTGCCTAAGCTCAGTTTGGGGTGTAGGGAGGTTTGTTGGAGCCTCCCAGTCAGGAGTTTGGTGCTCCAGTTCATCTGTACAGTTCACCATGGCTTTGGCATTGCCAGGTGCTCAATTTGCTTGCTAGGTGTGTTTAGCAGGCATTTCACTCACTCTCTGGTCATATGCCAGAAAGCTACAGGGTTCAACTCACTCCCCAGCTCAGTGCTAGAAAGCTACAGGGGTTGCACATATAGAAGATGTCTATCTCAACATACACTCTCTCTTGTGCTTGTAAAACCTTGTTATCCACAAGAATAACTGTTCAGGATGTTGATCATAAGCTTCAATATCCAATTGAGCTGTAAATCAACCTTATATGCTTGCTCTTCAGTGCAAAGGGCTATAATCTGATGGAGGACTTGTATGCTTGTCATTCACTAAGCTACCTAAAGGGGAATCTCGGCTAATCTATATGGGTCACGTGAGCGAGGTGCTAGTTGGATTACCTAACACGGAGCCCAGCATCACACGATTTTCAGAAACCACCCCCACCGACGCAATCATCATGCTTGAATTCGCTCATGAATCCCTTGGCATATTAGGCATCAATGTGTCAGAGAGGGTGCTGCATCGCATCTCTCTGGATCAGCCGACCACGTTGACGCAAGAGCTGGCCAACATATGATGACTACGGGCCGTCCTGTTGGCAAATGCACTGCAACTCGGGGCTGAATGTGACTCTTCCCTTCTTACAAAGCCATCTTCTGTCAATTGACAGAATTCTTTCTTTGCCAATCCTTGTTTGATTTGTTGTTGCCTTACCAGCAGCTCGTTCGAAAAGACACCGGATTATTGTCGGGCTGAATACTCGCATGTCTTATCTTGCTCTTGAATGTGCACCGCCCATAAACAGTTACCATCGCCTGAGCCAACTGAGCCTCACGCTCGCGTGTTTTGAAGCTGATGGCGGAACTCTCACAAGGTGAAATTGCTATCATCATGAAATATTCCTTAAGCGAATCGCTGGATCGTGTGCGTGACCTGATCCAAGCAGCAGAACAGCCTCTCTTAACATCATATGATGGCACTGACGATGGCCCTGATCATACCCGTCAAATGGCAGTATCAAAACTTATAATTGCTTTGATGGATGAAAAGGCGGCTTTTAATCTTCGGCCCCCGATAAGCAGCAGAGATGTTGCGTCCGAACTGTCCAGGTTATTCACCCAGCTTCGGGATGGAGACTTTTGCTATGAGCACTACCGCCCAGTAATACAACTTATTCTTCAGAAGGCATCAGACATTGATATCTGGAAAGCTATCCTTACTCTTATTGCCGCCGTCTCCAGAACAACCCCTCCTCCCAGCGTTCCACCGACATTCAATGGCACGCCATTCAGATCCACATCTTCATCACAGAGAGGCTCGGAGCAGACGCGAGAGCTGGTGGAAGGAAGGCTCTTTCAAGAGATTAAGCACTGTACTCACCGGGATGTTGCGGGTTTCTTTGAAACATACTTCGAAGGGAAAGATTGGAACACACAGGCAGATGATGTAACTCGTCGCGCGCTTGGCTCTGGAGATGACAGTGGATGGCCCAGCTTCCCCAACCCGCCAACACAGAAAGACGCCCTCGACTGGTGGTTTGGATTCCAAGATGAGTTCCTGTTGGATGAACAAAGTGTCTACGTCACCACGGCAAGTAAAAGCAATCTCACCGGTTCGGACGCCAACCGACAGATCGATATCCTCCTCAAGAGCTGAAGCGCGAGCGACATCGGTGGAAAGCACAACTGGAAAGATATCCGGGTGGTCGGCAAGCTGAAAAAGCCTGAAGGAAAGATCAGGAGCAAAAGTGCACTGCTGCAAATGACGCAGTATGTGCGGGAGGTCTTCAAAGCCCAGCCAACACATCAATTCATCCACACGTTTGCTGTCTGTGGAACAAAGGCAGAAGCGTGGATGTTTGATCGCTCGGGTCCTTTCAGCTCAGGCTCATTTGATGTCAATGAAGACCCAAAACGCTTTTTCCAGATGATCGTGGGCTACACAATGATGACCGATGAGGAGCTGGGACTGGATACCTTCATAACGCAGGATGGTAGCGGTGCCAAGACAATCACTATCAAGAGCATGGGGGGTGGAGAGACAGTTGTGCAGCTGAACCCAAAGCCACTTAGCTATCAAAATGCCATTGTGTGTCGGGGAACGGCCTGCTTTCTCGCGAATGTTGATGACAAGGTGCAAGGCGTGGCCAAGTTCTCGTGGACATCAGACAAGCGGGCAAGCGAAAAGGATCTTCTCAACCTGGCTCATGAAAGGGGTGTAAAGGGAGTCGCAGAGGTTGTCGGATACTGTGACATCACAGATATTGCCACACTTCGAAACAGGTTGACCTTCGAGAAGCGCCACACCTTTAAAAGCACACTCTCTAGCGCCAAATCCTCCTTGCACGAGTCTCACTCCAACGACCCTCGGTCGCGATCCTTCACTCGGCTTCATCCAAGCACTAGCGCTAAGCAGATCGGCCGAAAACGCAAATCTCCTGATAAAGGCACACAGGCGTCTAAACGGTCGCGCTCCAGCAGTCAACTATCTGGCATTGGTCAGCAGGAGAATGAATTAACTTTTGAGGTCCAGCCAGTTGGGAAACCGAGCCTATTTGATAACGATGGCAAAGAGTTTTATGATAACCGGATACTTCGCTGCCTGGTCATCTCGCCGGCTGGCCGGCCGATCTATGAATACCATTCGCCTACTGAGCTTTTGAAGTCCCTCCGCGACGCGATCAAGGCACATCGGTCCCTTTATACAGAGGGAAATATCCTACACCGAGACATTTCTGAGAACAATATTATCATCACGCGAAAGGGTGGAGGAAGGGCAAAGAAAGCAAGCAGGCTAAGGAAGGCGCGAGAACCGCTGTAGACAATGTATTTATTAAAGCTAATATGATCTTGCTTGTTTCACATCCACAAACACAAGTGGTCCATAGCCCGCGTGTAGCACCTCGCGCTTCGCCAATTCAGCCCTATCTGCGATAAACCTTTGGTTGAGCGACGAAGCAACATCTGAGGAGAAGGCTGATGGCTTTCTGCCCAGGCTGACCGCCGCAAGGCTGGAGAATTATTAAATTACTCCGAAGCCTGGATAGGAACACCTGCTAACCCTAAATCACCAAGTTGACATGCCTCGGCGTCGGGCACAGATAAGAACCTTGGGTTCTGGCCCAATGGTAGTACATACCTTCAAGCCAACAGGCAATTTTTTTATGGAGTCTCACCGTTCTCTGCTTCCAATTCAGTGCAGACTTCGCAGCGCCTGCTAAGTCAAATCTCTCAGCCAATTGGTTACTCGTGGTGGTTGCGATTTGAATAAAGCAGGGATATAATGTCGGTGTACCCAAATTGTCCAGCCTCATGATCATATAACTCTATTGATGATTGGGCTCTTTCTGGGGAGGGGGAAACACCAAAGCGAGGAGAAAGGGACCGTGTGGCTGCAAAAACCTTGTTGCGCTGGGAATATATATTGCCATAATATCATTTAGCCAGGGCTCATCTAACTACACTTCCAACCTAGCAATAATAATTTCATTTCCATCCACAGAGATATCATAGCGTTTTCTGTTTGCAATGTGCAGCTTCAGAGTTCGAGTCCATAACTGCGGGCACTACCACAAGACACTCAACCGACCCTGTGGAGATGCAAAGCGCAAGAAGGAAGTGTGCGAGATGGGGACCACCGAGCATGCCTCTACCAGTGGTTTGCCAAACTGCGGCATCAGCGGCTGTGACAAAAAGCCGAATTTAAAGAGGGAAGGTCCAGGTAAGGCTAGATATCGATGGCCATAGTATATTCTTGCTGACTGTTCGAAGGTCCTCGAACAGACGGCGGATTTGATGAAGATGATATAGAATGGGTTGACTATTGAAGCGAATCAAGGCAAGGATATTTCGGAGGACAATATTTTGTGACCACACTAGTTGGATTGGTCTCTATTTGCATGGCGCCATTGACCGGAGCAGCGGTCTGCTCTGCGGCGGCTCTTGCTCGGTGGGAGAGATGGCGGGCTCCTTCTCCTTCTTCACAGCCTTGCTAGGTTTGCGGAAGAGAGCGGTCAATGTTGTCAATACCAGAAAGCTCCGAGATAGCCTCGAACATAGTCATGCGTCCATGCACGCTCTCTACCATTAGGCAACCGGCAATCCGCTTCAGTATCCTTGTAATAGGGCTATCTTTTGCATGCCGAACAAGTTCTGACAGAAACTTTCCATAAGCCCAGGTGTCGTTCGATTTACGCACCCTATACGGGAGTTCGTTGGGTGATATCTCATCTCGGATCTCTGGGGCACGCCACCCGTGTGTGATTCCACCAATTCCACTGATGTCAATAAGAACTGCATTTCCATCCGCATCAAGCACAACGTTCGAAGGCTTAATATCCATGTGAGTTATGCCGGCCGCGTGAAACCAGTCTAATGCAATAGCGATTTGTTTTGGCCATTTTTCCCAGGAATGTTCAAGCAGACGATGTTCACTCAAGACTCTCTGGATAGAGCCACCACTGTAGAATTCCAGCACAATACCAGAGACTATGAGAGGCTGATCCCTTGTGTTCGACGTCATATAAGGGTTTGTGGATACTTCAATGCCGGCTGCTTGCACAATATTCGGCGCGCCTCGAAATATTTCAAGGTTTTCAAGTTCTTTGCGTATGACCTCTGTGTCATGAGGCTGATAGAGGGGTCGGTTCACAACCTTGAGGATATATGGCATCTTGCTGTTGGCATTGCGGACCTGGAAGACTCCGTCCGTGATTTCAGTCTTGTCACAAAGCTCGCTTGAATTGATACATCGAAAGGAGGGAAATTCATCACATGATGGATAAATGACTCGCGAAGGATCTTCCCGGATGGTACATCTCAGTTTTGCAGCAATCTTGACGAAAGGATTGCTGGTAAATTCTTCAAATGCATGTATAATGACTTTGGAACCCTGTCCCCCATCATCAAGGATCAGTTCCGTAACCGTGTCATCAAGAAGAGGAAGAGCGCCGTAGTCTATGAGTCTGACAAAGTTTTGGAACTGTTTGCGACGTTCCTTTTTTGAAGTCCTATGGCTTATTGTCGGCTCATTCAGTATGTCGTAAACCCTGCCGCGAAAAGTCACCTTTATCCACCACTGTGACTCTCGAGAACAGTAAACCAAAGTCTGCGAGCGGTGGTTTGGCTCAGGTTTTTCTTCCACAAGATAATCCTCATTTTCGCTGTATGACTTGAATTGAATCGGAGTCGTCAAAGTAATAGGCAAAGAAACAGCCGGCATCTCGGTTCGCAAGACAGGACCGACGAGTTCGATGAAACAAGGCTTTGATGTCGGGGCTTCGGGTTTCGAGAGCTTTTGTTCGGATAACGTTCGTGTAGGAGCTTTGGGATTTGGTTTGGAATTTGGTGAGAGCTGAGGCTGAGGCTCAAATAGAGGTTTTATCTGCCTTTCAGGACGCGCTTAGGTGAATGAAGAACGGCACCTCGATGAAGTGAGTGCTGCCGAGTTAACGAGACACTGAAGGAACCGAGATGAAGGAGCGAAGGGACATCAGAGTGACAACATTGGTCAGCTGCCTGGATGATTCCTTTATGTTGTCTGGCCGCAGGCCGTCACTTTATTTTTCGTGCGAGTCAAATTAACGACTTGTTGGGATCAAACAGGCGTAAGGTTCGTGGCGCTGCCTCTTTATTGAGATCGTTAGGCGGACTCGGGCGGTTGGCTTTTCCGTCTGAACAGTGCCCCAGCCGTTCATCTGCGTGCGTAAGGTGGCTCACCACTCAACGAGCCAAACCACTCAACGAGCCAAATTCCTTCCAATGCTCCACGCTACGAATTTATTAATTATCTCAACAACAAATTATTATTATTAAACTAGCTATTAAATATTAAATGAGTGTGTTCTTTAAAGCATAGAAATTAGTGTGGCTATGAAAATAAATGTGTGGACGGCCTGATATTGCGGCCAGAGTGAGAGATATGGGGGGTGGATAGAAAAGATTGTAAAGGAATGTCAGCAGTAGATTTCTCAGCTAGAGAGCCTAAAGGCTTGTTAGGGAGGCTAGTAAAGCTCTTACTACTGCTTTGGGAAGATTGTATAGGCTTGCTGTGATGAGGTTCTTTTGTAGGGAGGCCCTGCCAACAGCACTTTAAAGCTGGTGCTTGAAGCTCTGACTGCTGGTGTTTACTAGCATGTTCAACAGCCTGTCTCTCCTTCTCTGCTTGTTGTAAAGCCTTTTTCTTCTTATGGGCAACATGCTGGGTCTCTTGTTGTATAGCATGTTCAAGCTTTTCAGTCTCTTGTTGCTCACAGGTCTTCATACAGACAGTCTCTTGTTTAATCTGTTTTTCTTCAGTCTCTCTAGCTGTCTGCTCTCTTTGAAGCTTCTGTTGAAGCTTTGTCTCTTGTGTTTGAGTGATTTTGTGAGCTTTCTCAGTCTCTATTTCATTCTGGCATTCCTGAGCCTGCAGAACTTTTGTAGAACTCCAGAACTGGGCCTAGCTTGAATTATTGTGATCAAGTAGATCTAGAGGCTTGTCTTGCTTGTGGTGCTGTTTCTCCATTATGATAGTTAATTTTAGAGTCTGATTTTTATACTCTAGCAGTTCATTTTGTATTGCAAATTGCTTGCTGGCTTTGATAATCTATCCAATACTCTGTGAATTTAAGCTGTGCTGAAGATGAATACTCTTAATCTCTTGATGAAGCTCCTGTATATTTGTAGGGATGGAAGGCTCAACTAGTGGTGCAGGGCCTTGTTAATCAGCAGTTTCAAATTGGCTTAGTTGATGCTGGGGATTCAGAGGATAAATGCCAGTCTTTGCAAAGCCAGCATGTATATTGTCATCTGTCAAAGCCTTCTTCCATGCTGCATTGAATAGTCTCCAGAAATCCCTTTTTGTCATTTGAATATAGCCCAGTCCATGGTGTAGTAGGGATTCCAGCTTGCTGGAATATGTCTTGCCCAGCAGCCTAAAAACACCAACATCAAGAGACTGCAAATGGTGGGTAGAGTGCAGTGGAAGAATTAACAGCAGGATTCTTTTGTGGTTTGCATATTCAATAAATTTTATATTTATATGGAAAGAATGCCCATCTAGTAGAAGCAGATGTCTTGCTCTATCTGCTTTTATCTTTGTATATGGATTAAAAACCTGTTGTAACTACTCCAGGCCATATTTATTATTGCTTCAGCTGTTTACTGAGACTGCAAAGTAAATATATTTACTTCTGTCAAAATCATCCAGTTATGTATTCTGAAGATCTCTAGATTTACTCTGATAAATAAGAGCTGGAGATAATGCAATCTTATCTGCAGAGACTGAACAGAGCAGTAAGAGGAATTCCTGACTTCTATTCTGAGTTGCAACACTTTTACCAGCTTGTAGAGCTTTAATAGAGACAAGATGCTTTGAGACATGACAGAAGCCTAGAAGAAATTCTTTTTCATTAAAATTATATGTGTTTTCTGGTGTAATATTATACTGGCTGATTTTCTTGCTTAACTAAATGCAGCAGTGCAAGCACTCAACAAGTTAGTTAAATTTAACAACTGCACTTGCAAAAAAGCAAAAAAAAGCATTAAATTACAAGACTATAGAAGTGCTAAAAGCAGTGATAATTATCTGCTACCTGTCTATTCTTGTCAAGTGGCTTGAGATAAACAGTCTTGATCTTGTTCTTGTGATGCTTATGAAACTGTGTCACTCAGTTGATTCCCATATCCTCTCCTGTCATCTCTTGCATGATATTTTGAAGGATTTGAGGTGTAGGAGCAAGACTGTAATTACAGAGCTTGTTTATATACTCTAGAAGCTCATTCTCCTGTATATTGGTGAGCTTCTTCTTATGTCTGGAGATTGCTTCATGGTGATTGACTTGTAGGCCTTGATGCTGCTGGTGCAGGGTCTCTTGGCTGAGTGAATATTTTTTCACAGTTGCACTGTAATTTGGAGTCTCTTGTGATTCAAGATCTTCAATTGCAAGCTTAATTGCTTTGTTGTTGACCATGCTATTGCATAATGAAGTTGAGTGTTGAAGAAATTTGATGGTGCAAAAATTTGGCTTGTTGAGTGGTTTGGCTTGTTGAGTGGTGAGCCACCTTACCCGGCCCTTAGAGGCCAAGGGGGGGCCTCTTTGACCTGTTAACCTACGGTGGAAAAGTCAGGCCGAAGGCGCTTAGCCCAACCACATATGAGGGTGAGAACTCACCATCAATGCGATTTGAAAATAGTAGACTAATCTGTTCTACCCTCGTGTTTCTATGTATTTAGCTCCTAATGGAACTTCAACTTACGTCTATTCAATACCTGCAGGTTTGTGAAACTGCACACCCATATATACCTAGTCAGGTTCTGATGGAAAGTAGGGACCCATATTCCAGATGAACTTATTCTCATTCACGAGTTCAAGGATCATTATTCCCTACAAGCGCGGGAAGAGATGGCGGTAGATGGTGAGCCAGAAACCTGACCTACATACACGTCTGAGTATTAACTGTCCTAGATTTGAATGCTAAAATCACACATTTCTTGGGGACATGGGGGCAATGTTTAACAAAGGAAGAATGGTAGTACCCGAAGCCAACAGAGACTGAATGAACGGGTTTCATATAAAGATCTAGGGATTACACTAGAGCTCTCCGCCAGGGTTTCTTCGTTAAATACCATAGTAGGAATGGGTTCTACTAAGGATGTTGTGTCCATTAAATCAATTCGACGTCTTTTATTCGCCCGGATAAGATTTATTTTATCAGCTTAGCCACAAGATCAGATCCCATCTCACCATCCACATCCAGAAGTGAATAAAGGTCTTCGTTGCCTGCCAACATCTGTACTTCACAGGCAACATATTGAATAACCACATCACGCAGAAGAGACCTTCCACTTGGCTCATATCTTGCAGTGTTTTGATATGTGAATTCCAGGAGACCGAGAATTTGCGAAGCGGTTTCTTTGCTGAGCGAGAAATTGCAGAGGTCTCGATGCAGAGATTTGACAGCCTGTGTCTGTAAAGGCTCAATGATATATCTAGTTGCAAAAACGTACAACTTTGCATGGAATAGAAGGTCAGGCTTGACTGCAATAGATGAAGCAAGACCTCTATATTGTAGAGCCCGGAATTTTTTCCAGCGTCCCTCGTAGGAGAAGATATTATCGGCTTTATCAAAAGCGTCAGGTTTGAGTTCACGCTCTTCGAGCCAGCACTTACTAGGCTTCTTCTTCTTTTTGGAAGAAATGGGCCTCCCCCAAAAATCATCAATCGGATCAGCCGCGGTAGCCGAAACGGCGCCACCATCAATGGACGGATCTTCTTGATTAGATGACACATGCACTGGAATGGCGAAGCTCTGGTCTGCAACGGCAGTGCCCTCAAGATCTGGGGTGATGTATGCGCCGGTGTACACATGCTCGCAAAACCCAATGAACACATCCTCGTCTGTGTCCCCAAGGACGGCTATCCGCGAGGTTGACTCTTTCATCTGACCATTATCTGTCAATGCCCAGAGAGGCTCCGATACGTTTTGTAGGACACCAGCATGGACTGTCAGGCAGGAACGTTGTTTGCCGACAAGGAAACTGAATTGAGGAGAACGAATGACACTAAGTCCATTAGCAGGAGCCAAAAACCACATAATCATCATCCTCATACCTTTTATAGTCTGCCATAACTTGACCTCTTGCCAAAACAACCATTAGACACCCTTCGACTACAAATTGGTGGGGTTCACAAACCTCCATCTTTAATATTCGCCCAGCGAAACGTTGGTCTTGGATGCAAACCAGTTCAGCCAAGTCAGTCCAATGAAACATCGACACGATATCTGCAGAAATGCAGTCCAAGCGTACAGCCAATGTATTGGGGTTCATTTTCGGTTCTTTTCTTCGAAGATCATTAGAAATTATTGGGATGCCGCCCGTACACCAAGGATTCGATGAGTTTCTTGAACAATCTTCTAATGGCCGTGAGGAAGCGCTAGCTCTGACCATGTAAAAGTCCGTCCCGGGAACAGAGCTTGCGCCGGTGCGATGACATCACTTGTGTTCGTTAAATAATTGTTATCCAAATCGTTGAATGCAAGTCTGGTTGTCTGTTTTGTGCTGGATAGAGAGGATGACAAATCGGTGACGAAAGATGGGATATATCATGGACAGTAAAATATGAACGCTTGTTTGAGTCTCCCTTTGGAAGGTCGGCTTCCCAAGACGCAGACAGTGAGATTGTGAACAGTAAGGGATACACATTTCAGGTGGGCATACCAAACAAACTTAAGACCTTCAAATGTTCTTCTTCTTCATCCAAAAAAGCTCGCTCTCGGTCTGTGATATAGTGTTCGTCATAGGTACTGGCTCGATTAAAATCAATTCAAACAACCCGCTCAGGGTCGCCTCTAACAATGAGCAGGTTCCTGGGTTTTGCGTCTCCATGCTCTACAAGCGCTTTGTGTATCTCCCGGATGGCCTCAAGAAATTGGTTCATCCGAGCTTGCGTGTAGTTGTTTAGATCAAGCATCTCAAGGTTTGGGATGTATTCCAGGAAGATGGCACTGGGTGGGTATTTATCATCCATGAACTTGCGTAGATAAGGCTGGCATGGCTTTGGATCAAACTTGTCCATGGTACCAAAGAATCGAGGGACGATGCCTTGCTCACTGACCATAAGACTCGCCAAAACGCAGAAGAATCGCTTTGGATGTCTCCACTTCATCATTGAGGTTGCACCAACCATGAAGCAGTCTACATTCGTAGCAGCCACGAATCCTTCCGTACAGTTGAAAGCACATCAGCATTTTTAGATGCACTTCATTCAATTGAAAAACGACCCGTAGCTATGAAGATATGCCGTTATCCTTGCAAAATGCCTTTCTCCTTCATTCCTAGCCCTAGTCCGATAGATGGCGGGTCCACTTATCCATCAATGCTATAAGAAGCTCATGCGAGTATTTTGGAGCTTGTGTGAATATGTCACTTTCCAGAGACAAAGTCAAACGATTTTCTCCCTTGCGTAAAAGAGCCAAATGCTTAATTGTCATATTCACAATCAGATCCCGAAGGCCACGGTCGTGTTCCGGAGTCGTTTTGTATATTTCCAAGATGGCAGCGAAGAAAGTATCTCCATCCACACGTTGACTAAGCTCTCGTTCGACATTTTGTTTTGAAAGGCGCTTCAAACCATGAATGAACAGCCGCTCGGCGAGGGAGTACATCAGGATATGGAAGGAGAGATGATCATATGAACCAGAGGACAGTGGAGAAGACAAGCCGTTCTCAACTTCGCCCGAGGTGGCTGTAGCAGCGCTATCAGCATTTGAGATCTGCTTGTCCTCAACACAGTAATCCAGCGTGTAGAGATATTCAAGCATCCCATTGACGAGTCGCGGGTCATCGTCTAACTCAATCTCTCCGGAAACGGCCTCCTGTAGATTGATCAGCTTGCCTGTTGAATTCGATCCTTGCAAACACACCCACCTTAAATTCTCCGCTCAGGGCCGAAGCGAAATATTCCGACCGTGGGCAGACGATGCTTCTGTGGACGTGGAACGTGTGCGGGTGGCAGGTGATTTTCAAATCACTATATTGGGACGTTTCCCATAGACTGCGCTAGGCTATTAGTTGAAGGAAATGCCTTGGGGGGGGAAGAGATTCACCTTTTCACTGAATCTAGCAGTTCTTGTTTGGCAGTAAGCCCAGCATCGGTAGAAGTTGACTTCTCGGCGAAAACCAATGAAGTCGCCTTTCTTCTAATAGGAGACATTGTGAAAATAAAACTCCTTCGCGAAAGAGAGCGGTGGCCGTCAAAATGAGCCGTTTTCGGCCTTATAGGACATCATTTGTTACTGACAGAAACATTCATGTGCATCAAAACCACGCCTTTGACCGGTGTTATGCTTGTCGCTCTTTCCGCCGCCCAGTTTGATCCATGATGTCATGATCATTTCAAACTGGTAAACCGATCGCTCAAAACCAGCTGCCGTGGATGGCAAATGCACATTCCCGCTTGTATTCTGTCAGTAGAGCGGTCAAAATTACAAATCCAGCTCTCGGAACTAGGCTTCGAAGCACTCTCCCGACCACAAGGAATAAACAAAAAACACAGTGTAGACACTGTCAAAGGATTGAAAATGTGATATTGAAAGATAGCATAAGATTTGTTTAGCCTGCAACAACCCTATTTAGACTTTGGTGGCCTGCCGCGCCGCTTCAGCTGCTTTCCCTGCTTTCCCTGCTTTCCCTGCGGTTTCGATGGCCTTCCCCGTCGCCCAGCATTTTGCAAAGTACAACGTCGCTTTATACCTTCCACCTCGTCAGCGGAAAACAATTCAGCCGGCTCCACAGACCGATGCCAGGCAACCTCAACATGTGGGACCCCATCAATAACCATATATCCGGTGAGGCGCTTGTATGAATATGCCCGAGAGAAGCCTAGCGGCTGAACATCGGGGGAGGCACTGCTTCCAATCTGAACCGATTCTTCATAGATCTGGCTGCTTTGGTCCCGCTGACGGCGATTCACCGGTGCGCAGTAGCTTCCTGTGGGGGGAAGAGACTTCGACCTGACTAGCTTCGGCCGCTTGTTGCTCGTTCTTTGAGAAATATTGCCAGCAGTTGCATTGGTCATGTTGATGAACTCAATGCAGTCATACTGGCTATCCTCTTGCGAAGATAGATGTGCACGCTTGCGCTTGGGCGCCCTGGTGGGAGGGACCGCGTCGTCGTCTGGGCTGAGCTCTTCCTTCACTTGGCATGAAGAGCCTTCAGACAGCTCCCGGCTACCTGAGAGCCCTGCGGCCTTTCCTGAGAAGGTATCAGACGGTGAAGTATCCACCCCGGCCGAGGTTCTGCCATCACCCAAGCGCGGATCATCATCGGTGATTATGATTGGCGTATCTACTACATGTTAGAATTGGAAAGGGCAAGTAGGAGATCTAGATGGATTTTACCTGAAGTGTCTCCTGGCTCTACCTGCACACGGGGCATGCTGCCGGAGGCGCCGACCGGGCCAGTGGGATCAGCGCTTGAGCGGCTAGGATGGGTACGGAGGGCCTCAATGTCCTGATCAGATTCCCGGACCTCAGCGGCGTGCTGTCCGGGCGGCCGGGATATCGACCAGGCAGGGGCTATATCGTCGAGCATCTGGTTACCGTCATTGGCGGGTGTTGTTTGATCTAAGATGCCTGTAAGATTCCGGAAAGCAGACCTGAGGCCTAGGAGACCACCCACCTTCACTGTCATCAATACGGGGAAATTGGGTCTCCGGTATCTCGTCAACCGGATCATGCTCCTCGTCACCCCAGCCTTCATAGTCCTGCTGCGTGCATTTGTTTCCATTGAGAGGGCCGCGATTGCCGGTGACACCGCCCAAGGCGGCGATAGCTCGCGAATCAGTATTGGGCTCGTCGTCGTCATCGTAGAAGAGACTGTGAAGGGGGTCGTCATCACAGATCGTACCTGTGCGGCCCCTGCTCTGCGCGCCCGCTTCTGGTCTGAAGGATTGCGGATCGTCCATGGAGGTCTCTCAGGCTTGCACGCTGGGAGGTTTTGAAAGTGGATCCTTCTCTTGACGCGTGCGGGTGATCGGGTGGGCAGTCTTTGCTTTCGAGGATTTTCGCTCGCGCTTCCGCTTTGGGGTAGGGGAAACCGACTTGGAAACAGGCTTTGAGCTGCTGGTGGTTTTATTGCCAGTATATGGGATAAAACGGATGGGAGGTTTGAACGGCTGGGACCCGGGCTGGTAGAACTTGATATGGTCCATTTTTGAGCGAGAAGATTGAGATTTGGACAGGCGTGAGGGCCGGCACAAACTGAGGAAACATTTGCCTTTTTAGACCTTGACGTCTAGCAACGGGCTTTGGATATGGTCATTTCCTTCTTGCAACCCTGCATCGGTGATCGCCGCGGATTTGGCCGCTGAAACAACATATGGCTACTTCCGGCGCAGTAAAGGGCGCGCTCGCCAATAAACAGTAAATAGCGCTATTGCTGGAAGGAGGCCAGCCTCGGCAAATGTCTTGAAAAGCGAATACGGCCCTGCGGTGCAACCTTTATGGCATCCCTGGCGAGCTGAGACCTCCCACCAGAAAAATCTGCCTTGCGGCCCAGCCAATATCGTCAGTCTATCAACCTTCGTGAACGAATGAATCCGGAGCACTAGCCCAAGCCTCCAACTTCCAACCCCGGCAGAATCATGCTATCACATCACGGCTTGCAGTCTATCGTTCGATCCGGCCAGTCCCATAGTCGTGCAGACGTTTGCTCGCAGACTGGGTTGGCAGAGCGGTGGCGAGAAGAAGTCACTCGTTAGGTGCGGTGATCTGTTGGTAGCCCGGCATGATGGAAAGTGCCCATTCAACGCATAATCCAGCCCAGCCGCGTCATCGTCAGGCTGTGCCGCACCGGAAGAGAAGGGAATAGGAGGAAATGGGGGCCCTCGGGGGTTCCGGCAGTACTAGCTAAGACCTACAGCGCCAACAGCTGGCGACGGACATGGAAGGGACCAGTCACCGCTTGCAACATGGTCACAGCCTACAATGCAGGCCCACCGCTCTACCCGAGGGCTACAAGGTCCTTCCGGCAAGGGGACTCGGCTTTGTGGCGTGAACAGGTCGCCGTGAAACTGGAAGCGAAAGGTGTAGTGCCATGAGGGCCAAAATGGATGCTGTGGTGAAAAACAAGTCAGGATTTAGGAGCAGAACAGAGGTAGAGAGTATAGTGTAGAATACCCACACAGGGAGGGAAGGGAGTCCAATACAGTAAATCAGGTGTACTTTGAGCGCCGGGTGAGCGCCGGGTGAGTAGTGGGTGACTGGCGGGTGATTTAGTGGGTGAGCGCCGGGTGAGGATCATCAGGCGAATTCAGGAGAATGCAGGGCGATTCCAGTCCATTCAGGCCGGCGACGTGGGTGAGGGAAGAAGGGAACGCGAGGGACTGGGAAAAGCAGCGGGAGGGCGAGGGGGTATTTATAGAGGTCAAAAGCGGCGAGGGGGACGCTAGACCGCATCGGGGGCGGCCGTTTCCGTAAGAAGGAATCGCCCGCGCCGGACGCGGCGGCCCTCGAACGCAGATTACGTGAATAATCACCAACATCATGCAATGTATCTTCCATCACTACCATAGCTGATACCGTGCTGAATGCCCCATTTCACCCTGCATGGCCTCTTTCCAGAAGCGCACCCCGCAGAGCTGCCCGTGTAGCCGCAGCTTTCGGATTAGGATATGGTCACGTAGAGTCAGCATTGCATCAGTTTTCTGGCTGACTCTGTTATCGGTGGGGTCACAGATCTGGGGAGTGTTCGCAAGTTTGCCCAGGTCCACAAGGATGTCAGCAGGGATCACTGATGAAGCTTCATCAATTGTAGTGCCAAAGCCAGCATCTTCATTCCACGTTGTTATGCTCGTCGCCGAATTCCTGTATCATGATTGCATCATTTATCGCCGACAAGCAGATGTATACAAGCTTCATGTGCAGAGTCTGATGTTCCTTTAAGCTGCGGTCATGCAAAATCCTGTGATCTTTCATGTACCCTCCCTTCTCCTTATCATAGGCGAATTTGTAGTTCCTCCCCCGGCAGTAGGGTCACGCAGCGATTGGATTCTCGATTGAATTAACACTTCGAAAACGAAGAAACGGGGAGGGCTACATCCAGCTGAATCTGTGCATATCCAAGCATTCTGCTGGTGGCCTGTGTTCCGTGATATACTACCATCCCAGACTCCCTCGTTTGAACACGAATCTCCCCCGGTACCTGGTTCACTCCGGTGTAGGATCCGAAGAATGCCTCCCGCAACGAGCCGGGTGGTTTGGACGGAAGGAGACGTCGTAATGCTTTCGCGCAAGGCTCGAGGTAGAGTGTATCTTGCAGGAATGTTTTAAAGGACAAGATACGCCCATCGGTTGCAAGAAGCTGTTCAAGAATGACCCGGCGGTCTTCATCATGGCGAACCATCGAGAAAATCCGTCCTCCCTGCATCAGTTCTCGAATCTTTCCAGCATCCCGGGTGGCATGTCTTGGGGCGAGGGTCTCAAGGTGAAAGACAGTATTATGATCTAACAGGGGGAAGAGCTCTTCTTGGTCTCCGAAGATTGACGACCAACTGTCAAACATACGTTGAAGATAGTGAACATACGCCTGTGTCCTTTGGTCAGGGCATTCACGGCTTATCATTCCCCTTGTGACTTACCTCGTCACATTTTGAGTGCAACCACCGGTGGAATGCCCCAAGCTCAATACCAGGCCAAAGGCCAACGAAAGGCAAAAGCCTATCAAACTCTCTGGCCATCCGGCCATGCTTCCGCTGGAAATTGTCAATATTGTCTCGGATGCTTTTGGAGAATCTGCACTTCCATCGTGCCGCCTCTTCTATCTCTCCGTTCATTTCGTGATAACGAAGCTGGCGGTAGATATCACCGTGGCAAAAACGTAGCTCATGGGAATCTGCTTCACAGATTGCAGCTTTGGTTGAAGAAGGCAGGCCTGGTTTCAGGGACATCTTCCTTTTAGTGTCAATCTTGCGTGAAGCTGAGTATGACGGCTTACCACTGCTGTAAAGCTCCACTAGCCACCATTGATCTGTTGGCCAGAGGACTTCCTTGGCCGCTAGCAGCCGATGCTGACCATGCAGCGCCGTCAGAGTTGCGCCATCCGGAAGTATAAGCTCACATGGCTCCCCGTCGCGCAGAAGGTCCCTCTGCCGCAGGCTAGAGAGTTCAAGGCTACGGGCCAACACAGCTCTATTTACCAGAGCAGGTACATAATTCTCAGGGCGGAGCCAATAGCATCCGCTCTTGAAAACATTGGCAAGATGGGAAATGTGGCGAGTATTGATTGTTCGCGCACGAGACGTGTTCCCTTCAAACTCAAGGCAGTCAATCCTAATTTTTGCTTTTCCCAAATAGTGCTCCGCTCTATCCAGGAAATCCCGTGTACCAACATCTATGTGATCCATAATATGCAAGAGACCATTGACCCAGATGCCTTGTCAAAGAGAGATATTATCTTTCCCTTATTGAAATCACTTGATATTTTCGGCGTCTAACGATCGACAGATCTGCAGAAATGCAGGAACGCCTTATATATATGTTTGTCCATGGCTGCGAGTGTCCACGCACGCCTATCTCAATCGTGTATAGACAGAGCTGAAGCGAATTGTCAAGGAAGGGTCTCTGCCACCATTATGTCTTCTTGCAAGCACCAAGAATGGATTCATATGGTTCGAGGCGACCACCCTGTTTTAGAGGATACGGGCTGCATGTGTCGCCTGGTGGAGGAACTGCCTCGGGCATCACAGCAGCACCTACGGCTGATACATTTCCTGGGTAGAGGTGCAAAAGATGCCGCTATTCAACAGCTATTCCCCCAGCGACACCGGGAACAAAAAGGCTCCTCAAAGGAAATTGTGCTGCAGTTGGATGACCCTACTGCTAGCGAGAATAGTCCTCTTATGTTTGCGGAGAGTAACCCTTTCTCTGCCGCGAACCAATCACGATTTATCTGACATTATACATGCAAGGCTGCTTTTTCTTTTCTGTGATGTGATCTGCATATTTGCCGATGATTTCCCCAGCCTAGGTGCGGCAATCACCCGGGTGGAATCTTGGGCTGAGATTGGCAGTGCATCGACCCTGCCACCTGCCGTCCGTCCGATGGTTATGATTATTACCTCTGAGACAAGTGGGCCAACAGCGGACATCCTCCCAGGCGGCGCATGTATCGATGCATCCTTCTCCTCCCTGGATGTGGTTCATTTCAACATCAACCAACGATCCTCAGTTCATCAGCTGAAAGAGGAGATTCTTTGCCGGGCTGCATTGGCACATATCACACGCCAGCAATACCACTGTTTGTTTTCAGCGCTGCACCTGACTGAATTATTTCAAGATGCAATAACGCATGCTTCTAACAGTACCATTGATCCATTTGATTTTGCGTTAGCAACTCGGAAAGAGCTCGAAACTCAACAGGACAAAGTGGACCATCTTTCCATTTTTTTGAAGCTCGCGATGGATAACAGACTACCTTATGATGCCATATCTTCTGTTGTTGCCTCGAGTGGATTTCCTCAGAACATGAATTGGTTTGTCCAGCAACAAGGTCTTGATGCTCACTTTGGCACTCACGGCGCTCCTAGTACTCTCAAGTGCAGCGCATGTGACCAGTGCCCCTATAAAATTTGTCTCAAGCGGAAATCAAATACGTTGCCAAAAACAATGAGAAAGCGCACGCGGATTAGTTGACTTTCTTAAGGATATCAGTTCTATATTTTTAGGGGGCAGGTAGAGCTATTTTTTCAATAAATAGACTATATATCTTGAGAAAGAAATTTCATGGTTTGATTTAAGCAGTCTCCGAAACTCCAGAAAAGTTCCCAAGTAAACAAGAGTGAATACTAGTATAATAAAAGCTCTAGGCGGGTAAGTGGTGGAGAAGCCTGGGGAATAGTAAACTGAAAAAGTAGGAAAAAGCCTGAGGGGGGAATAAAAAGCCCGGGGGGGAATAAAAAGCCTGAGGGGGGAAAAAGCCCAGGGATAAAAACCCTGAGGCTTTCATCCCCCTCAGGCTTTCATACCCCTCGGGCTTTCATACCCTCCGGGCTTTTTTATTCCCCCCGGGCTTTTTATCCCCCCAGGGCTTTTTATCCCCCCAGGGCTTTTTATCCCCCCAGGGCTTTTTATCCCCCCAGGGCTTTTTATCCCCCCGGGCTTTCGTCCCCCTCAGGCTTTCACCCCCCTCAGGCTTTCATCGCCCTGAGGCCGGCCACTCTTGCAAGAGGCTCCCTCTTCACTTGAGTTTCCTCTATCCATATCTCTGCCTTGTCAGGCCCTCCCTGGCCCTCCTTCCTCTTCTGTGTACTGGTTATAAACTTATGCTACTGTGGACGGGACCACCTTGAATTGACTCAGAAGGCCTGTCCTGATCCCCCAGGCTCCATCTTGAAATGAAATTGTACTTATTATAAGGAATATATCTGCATCTCTAATGGCCAATGTCCCCGGGGAAAAGAAATCTTTACCAGAAGAAGGAACTGCAATGCTGATGATTTAGTTTAAACACTTCTATTCTCTATAAAATACAGGCTCACTCTTCCATAAAATGTTCCACTGGGTAATGCTGCTGCAGATAATTTTCCTTTGGTTCAATCAATAGGACAATAATCTTGAGTCCTATCAGCTCAAGGCTGCACTGGTTGAAGGGGCTGTCAATATGAAGAAGGATATGATAGAGAATGTCCTTTCATGACACATATTATTCATCAAGCAGTGGGTCATTGTTTCTATGGTCTCTGAAAACAGTGGTCTGAGTCATAGGCATCCTTCCTCTTAGCCTGGCTTCTTATATAACTCTCTAACATTGTTCAATTGACAGGGGGATAGTGATTGTCCTATTGGCCTATTAGTATTTCCTTGAGTTGTATCAGGAGGCTTACCAATTCTTTCTGGGACAGTGGGAATGTTGTTGAGTCTGGGTTTGTGTTGAGAGAAAAGCTTTGCCTCTCCTCTTGCCATCCACCTGGGATAGCAACCTGGCTGATCCCAAATTCTGAGGCTTCAATATAAATATCAGTGTAACATTTTTTAGCATATTCTTACAGCTTGCAATCCAACAATGCTTTCTGTTTATTTTGCATTCTTTGGAGGCTGGAGCAATTGCAGTCTGGCATTTGTCCAGGGAGAAAATCTATTGTAAAGTACTTGACCACTTGTTTTTGTCCCTGTCCTGTGGTGTTATATGGTAGTGGGTACTCAGCAGCAACCAGATGGACCTGGCTATAACAATCAACAGAGTAGCTATACAGCATATCTTCAAGTGTACACTTTTGTTGCCACCACATCTGCTGTACACTGTGATGGGTGGAAACATCCTGCATGGGTTGAAGCATAATGGTTAACATGAAGGATGGAGGATGTACCCTCATGACAAGGTGACACAGCTGTTTTATTTATCAGGCAGGCCATGATCTCTTGGCCTCTAAAAATTGTGGTCCTAACTCATAAGTGCTGGGCCTTCAACTGAATTGGTCACTGCGCCCTCTTTGCAGCCCCTGCTAATAGTCCACCAACTGATTTTGGCAGCTGTCGCCATTTTTGATCCCTTGTCAGGGGTTCATTGTCCACTAGAAAGAGTGTGCACCCCAAACCAGGCTGTGACACCTCAACAACACTTTGGATGATCACAGAAATGCAGAAAGCCAGAAAGCCAGAATTAGAGACACCAAGAATGTGGCAAGGGCCACAGTGAGCAAAGGCCATGGCCTCTTCACTAATCACTCTCACCTCAGTGCTTCCATCCTGGGCCACAAATTTCAGTAGGCCAAAAAAAATTGTGGCCTGACTAATCAATAGGGAGCCCAGCAGGGCAGCCTTGTAGGAGATCAATAAAGGTCTGATTTTTGCTCAAGGCCCCAGTGTATTTTACTCATCCTAGTGCTTTACTTGTCCAAGCTCTCCACTTGCCCTAGTATTTTACTCATTCTAGTGCTTTACTAGTCCTAGCACTCTACTCACCCTAGTATTTTACTTTACTATTCCGAGCACTTTACTAGTCTGAGCCATTCACTAGCTCTAGCAGCAGGGCTCAGTGACATAACTTTTGAACTGGATGAAAACCAAGCCTCAAGATAAATTCCCTGCAAGACCATCCAATGAAGTCACATGGAACTTTATTCTTGACATGTCACACAGTCTTGTGTTCCAGTTTTCACCCTCATCAAGCTTCTGAGATAAAAGGTGAGCTCCTAATTAAATTCTCTTGTATGTTCAATTGCTTGCTCTATTCAGGGGTTGGATGTCTCATGTTATCTAGATGCCTACAGGCTTCATGTTGAGGATGAGTATATGCTCTCCAGAAACACTCACAGCATCTACAATCAAGATCCTGCTCTCACAGACTTTTGGTGTTCCTTGGACAAGGCAGAGAAGCACAAGGGTTTGCTTCCATCATGGTGATCAAAAGCAAAGTGAAAAGAGTGTGAAAAGCCCCGTGCCACAAATAGAATTGCCACCAAATGTACAGTTCATGTACATGTCATTCTTTGCTTGAGCAATTCAGAAAGACAATTAAGTAACTCAACCAATCAATCAAAACACATTGCTGAACCAAACAACTTCACTTGGGAGAACAATTTGCATCTGGTGTTTGTGAATGTCTGTCACTCTTTTGCATGGTGTGGAGTCCTAGGCTTTGCACCTCTGAGTAATCATCATTTCAGATGGAGGGTGCTTTTGGAAGGTGAGTGACTGATTGAACACCTGAATGCTCTGAGTATTAACACTTCTAGATATCTTTGTTCCCCCTTGTTCACCTTCACTGTCAGTGTTGATAGGCAAGAAGTAACTGTGCATTCTTCTGCTTTGGCAGGACTCTCTCAGAACTTGAATACTCTCCTAAATGGCAAAATGATTGAGGCAAAAACTAGACATGTGGTCTGGCCAAATGTCAATGTAGACACTTTCACTTGGCTATGTGAATTTGCCTATTTCCAAAACTACATACCCCCAATCTTTAACCTCATCAGCAGAAAGGCTCCTTCTGCAAAGGTCAAAAAAAAAGAGTGAAGGGAAAGAAGAGAAGTAAAAAAAGTTGCCTGGTTGTGAGCTTGGATGACCCAGTATTGGAGGCTGCAACCAAGACTGAGCTTGAGACTGAGCTGGAGTTGGAGCCGGAGCCAGAGCCAGATTTGCCTCCTGAAGACTTTTGCAACAACTCAGAAATTCTATATAAAGAGAGAAGTGTCTGGACTAGACACTTGTGCAATGCATTGCAAAGGTTGGTTTGCTTATTGAGATCTCTGAGAAAGAAATATCAGTCTATTATCAACAGCTGAAGGGATCAGTAGCTAATCAGGAAAACAAGCCCTGAAGCATTGAGTTCCAGAGTGTGGACTTTTCTTACAATAAACAATGCCAAGTTCTTGGAGGATTGTCATTCAGGGTGCCAGGCAGCAAAACTGTTGCATTTATTGGAGAGTCTGGCAGTAAAAAATCAACCATTCTGGATCTCCTTCTGCAAGTCCACTTCCCACAAGACAGTTCCATCCAAATTAACAAACACAATATTTCAAAGAGCCTAAAGAAAGAAATTATCTTTGTCCCCCAGAAACCTAACTTCTTTAGTGACCACAGCATTATGAAGAATCTTAAATACACCAACCTCAATGTCAAGGACACAGAGATATATAATATCTGCTGCTCTTTGTTAATCCACAACCAGATACAATAATGTTCTGAAGGCTATGACACCTGGTACCAAGATGCTATATTCTTGAGCAGAGAGCAGCAACAACTGGCTATTGCTTGTGCTTTAATCCAGAATGCACAGATTTTTCTTCTGGATGAACTTACAAACAGCCAGGATAACAAGACAGCCTCTTGTATCTTGAATGTTCTAAGATCACATACCGATGATTAGACCACCATTTTAGTTTTATAAGTCAGGCTCAATCCCTCTTGTTCTATCCTCACTGACATCCACTTAAGACACAAACTCAGAGAGATTAAGAACATTCATCAGATCTTCTTTCCCAAAAAGGAAGAGTGGTTGAGCAAGGGAAACATGAGAAACTTGTTGATTTGAAAGGTCACTACTACAAACTATAGTCCATCCAACAGCAGGCTGGTGAGTAAAGGCTTTTTTGGTTAATGGGGTTATCACTGTGTGTAGCTGTTGTAGACTTGAGGCATGAAACAATGACCCCCTCCTTTTCAGGTTGATTATGAAATTACTGCAGTTTAATAAACTGCATAATTTGCCATATGGTTGGAACCTCGATATTCCCTGGGCTGAGGAGGTTCTTGGAGAGTGGATGGAGCTTCTGGAAGTGGTTGATATTGAAATGGACAATGTGAGTTTGGAATTTTTGGATAGTGAACCAGAATATGACTCACTTGAAGAACTAGATTATAATCTCCAATCATTAACAGCAAGATCTTGGCCTACATACACAAGCAAGGAGAAATGCAAAGTCCTTTACTGGTTGAAAACAGGAAAATATAGAGCTGATTGTTTTGTTCAATATGGAAAAAATGGCTGCCATGTCCACAGAATTGAGCCTGCAGAGTATCACAATTTTGATGCAATAAAGTGTCTCAAATCACTACTGAGAGCAGAAGGTTTTTTCAGAAAAATAATGGAACATGGGAATACAGTGAAGAAGATATCAGAGCAATTGCTGTGGTTGCATGGAAAATTCCTCTCTCTGACTGCCCTTCAACACAGATCCATGCTGTCTACTCTGAGAGATTAGGCTGACTGTGGATAGTCTACTGGACAGATCACATTTGCAGTGACCCCCTTATGGCTGCAACTTGGGCCTTCAATCTGCTGAAAGCCTGTGGTGCGACAGCAGTGTCCTTTTGTTCAAGGATGTGCTCAGGTATGCTGTGCTTTAGGATGAATCAAGCAACCATGCAAGTGTGTTGATGCATACCATGAAATAATGGAAGAAATTGTCTCGGAAGGACCTACGAGGCTACCAACCATATGCAGAAGCTATAGGAACCACAGAATGTGAACTCAATAGATGTGCGTGCCCTCGCTCCTCTCATCCAAAGGATTGTGGGATGAGAAGCAAGACAAAAACTCTGCATCAGATCAAAGAAGATCCAAGCTGCTAAGCTGGAGACTAACTACATAGAGACTAGTGTCTCAACACCGCCCCCTAGGCTCCAGCAAGTACTGGGAGAAGACAAATTTCTAAATACATAAATCCAACAAATCCAGGATCCAAGCTAATTCAATAACCAAATGAGTGGAATATTTCTTAGTAAATGGTAAGCAGAAGTCCAAATTGGAGGTTGAGCTCCAAATCTGTTGCTGGTGTAATGTTGTTGTGGGTTATGCCACTTCTGCTGGTGTTTGTGTCATTCTAATCAAGCAAGTATGAATGTAGGATCCATGTTGTTGAGATTCAACATCTGTAAGAATTCTTTAAATTTTTGTTTTTCAAGTGGCTTTGTCAAGCTGTCTGCTGGATTCTCCATTCCTGGTATATGGTAGAGTTTCACCCTTTCCTCTTTGAGAAGCTCCTTCATGAAGAACCAACATGTATCCATCCACCTGGTGGCTGGTGTGTATGTCAGCTTGTGAGCTAGTGCTATAGCATTCACACTATCTGTATATATAGGAATTGGAGCTTTTGCTGGAAGATCAAGATCTTGTAAGAGCTTCTGAATCCAGAGTGCTTCCTTCACAGCAGAATCAAGAGTGCAAAATTCTGCTACTGTGCTTGACAGTATGATGATCTTTTGGCATTTTGAGCTCCATGTGATGGGAGTTCCCATATAAAATAATACATATGCTTCTGTTGAGCATCCTTTCTTGCAGTCTTGGTGACTAGCATCCACATAGACTTGTAATTCTGGGATTCCAGGCTTTGGAGTGCCTCTGAGGGTTAGGCCTAGTGTGGGAGATCCTTTCAAATAACACAGTATCTGTTTGCTATATCCTAGGTGCTCTAGTGTTGGCTTCATAGCAAATTGTTGGAGTTTGTTGACAGCCAATATAATATCAGGGCAGCTCTTTATCAAGAGCCAATTGAGAGCTTCAAGAAGCTGTTGCAGCCAGTTCACAATGCTTTCAGCAACTACTGAACTAGGCTCAGGCTCCTGTGTAAGCCATACTCCTTCTGCTATAGGGGTGGTCTGGATTGTTGAGCCACTCATGTAGAATTTGGCAAGAATCTTTTGAACATATGATCCTTGGAAGAGGTAGATTATTTGCTTTGTACAATCTCATTCAATTTTGCAACCTAGGAATCTCAACAGTTCACCTAGAGATTTTATAGGGAAGCAGTCAGACAGCTTGTTTTTGAAATCAGTGACAGTTTCTTTCATAGGAGCAGCAATAAGAGCATCATCAACATAGATTATTAGTAGCAGGCCAGACTCTTCATCTATGAATACACATGGATCTGTATCCTTTAGTGGCTTTAAACCAATCTCCATGAGAGCTTTTGTGAAGGTCTCCTGCCAAAGATGTCCTGCTTGCTTCAGTTCATACAGAGCTTGCTGGAGTCTGCAGATGAAGCCTTTTCTTTCTGTTCCAGTTGGAAGGCTCATGTAGATCTTATGGTGCTTAAGTATGGCATGCAAGTAGGCTGTAACTATATCAACTTGTTCACAGTGCATATCTTCAACCACTATTTTTATAAGCATGAGCTTGATAGCTGATTCAGTGACTACAGATGCAGCAGTCTTGTCAAAATTGAGGCCAGGGTGTTGGAAATTACTGCATATGACCCATCTAGCACAGAAGAAGATAATGTAGCTGTCAGCATTCACTTTCAAGTCAAAAACCCATTTGCCAGGTAGGATCTTAGCTGTAGGATCTATTGAATCCATCTCAACTAGCTCTCAAGTATTGGCAGCTTCTAGCTTCTCAATTTGTTTTTCCATAGCACTCTTCCATTTGCTGGTGTATTCGCTAGTTATAGCTTCTTTGTAGTTGCGTGGAACCTTAACTTTGTAAGCTAGCAGGTTGGCTGCAAGATAGGAAGTGTAATCTCCATATAGCCTTGGTGATTTGCCTTTAGTTGTACGGCTTGATACGTGTCTTGCAGGCTGAGGGTTCAGCTCCATTGAAGCTGTAGGTTCTGGTTCGCGTGTAGGCATGGATTCAGCACTCTGTCCCAGTTCTTCCAATGCATCTCTGAACATCTCATTGTGGATTTGGCCCTCAATCAAGTTGTTGTTGCTATCTCCATTATATGGAGGCTCTGGTGTTTCTTTGATAGTCTCATGGACAGGCTCTTGGAATCTCACCATGCATTCAGGTGCTGAAGAAGTCTTCTGAGATGACAGCATTATTGTTTGAAGCTGTGGGCCATGCATTTGCTCCTGCATCCAGAAAGGTATTGGGATCTCAGAGTTCTCAATCAGGTTAGCTTCTTGAGCACATGCCTCCATAGGCTCTTGTGTTGAAGCTGGTAGAAACCTAGTAGCAGCTTGCTTCACTGCCCCTATAGCTTCCTGCTTTGGGAAGCTCAGAATCACAAAGGGTTCTGTAAATCTATCCTTCAGCTTAGGATCTTCCTTTTTCAGGAGGTCTGGGATGGCATCAACATCCTCATTGAACTTGGCATTGTGTGTACATATAATTTTGCCAGTCTCTGGGATCCAGATCTTATAAATATGTCCATTCTCACCTTCATATCTGACTAGGCAACCAAGTTGAGCCCTGGGTTTCATTTTATATGTCTTATTGTAGTTCACTCTATTCTCTGGTGAAATATGCATGTAGGCTATACATCCATAAGCTTGTAGGTGCTGTAGATTTGGCTTCTTTTTCCAAAAGAGCTTGTATGGTGATTCTCTGCCTCCAGTCAGAGGGATCCTATTCATAATGTAGCAAGCAGTTTGCAAGGCCAGATCCCAGACTTCTTGTGGAAGCTTCACTTCTAAAATCATGACACAACTTATTTCTACTAAATAGCTGCTGATTCATTCTGCTATGCCATTTTGCTCAGGCATGTATGGAGCAGTCACTTTGCATTCAATTCCACAGGCCGGGGCGAATTCCTTCTTAAATAGTGAAAATTTGGTGCCTCCATCCATTCATACAGTATCCACATAGAAATCTAGTAGATTCCTGAGCCTCTTAACATGCTTCTGGAGGCTACATGAAGCTTCAGCTTTATTCTTGAGTAGTATAATCCATTTAAAACGCGTGCAGTCATCCACAATTATTAGAGCATATTTGAAGGCTTGAAAACTCATTGGCTTTATGGTTTGAAGGTCAATGTGGATTTTCCACCCAGAAACCATAGACTGGATCTGTGGTGTTCAGGATATCTGCTGTTTTGATCTTCCTAGTGCACATGCTTTGCAATGGAAAGTATCTTGGCCTTCTATTTTGATTTCCTGGTCTTTTGCCGCTTTTCATGTGGTAGGGAATGCACAGTGTCCCAGCCATCTATGGAGAAGCTCTGGCGTGAGCTTCATAGTAGCATACATCTGTTGAATGGCTTTCTCTTGCTGATGAAGTGGCTCTGTCTTGAGGATCATAACACCATCACTTTTCTTAGCATATCCCACTAGTTTGTGGTCTCTTCATGTTCACAGCATGTGGTCTACTTCCATAAAGTAGAGATTCAACTTTTCAGTCAACTGGTTTGTGGAAAGCAAATTCATGCCTAACTTCAGGTTATACCATGCATGTATATGGATCTCATTGACAATGCCATCCTGGATGATGCATCTAATGTGTACTATGCCACTACCCTTTATGGAAATGATTTCTCCATTCAAAGCCCTGTACCAATGGTTCATAGTAGGATCAAAGCTAGTAAAGTAGGCTTTATTGCAACAAATCAAGTGGCTGCAGCATGTGTCAACAAGCCAGGTTTCTGGACCAACAGCTCTTTCAGATACAGATGCCACCAAGCCAGGTCTGAATGCCATGCTGGTGAAGCTATTTTCAAATCCCATTATGAGATGATTTTCTCCTGTATTATCCTTAGCATCTTCACTGGAATTTGGTTGCTGAGATTTGAATTGGCTCTGGTTTTTTTGTTCAGGATTTGTGTGCCATCTTTCTTTGGGCCTTGGTCTCATCCATAAATGTGGCTTTGGCTTCCATCCTTGATATCTCTTGTTGGTAAAAAGGTGAGGGCATTGTTGTATGGCATGACCTGGAGTCTCACAATATCTGCAGTTGTCACCTATTTTGCTAGGTATTTTTTCACATAAGAATTTGACATGGTCATCCCATGAGACTCCCTTCTGTGGAGCATATTTCCATACAATTTGCTTGTTGAGGGCAGTCTCTTTGGATTTGGTTTGTCTGACCATATATATCCCACTCAGAGCTTCCACATATTCCTTTGCCTCCTGCACAAGATTCCTCATATCCTTATATGTTATGTCACTTGGGTTTGTATTTCAAACTATTGATAGCACACTATCCACATAGTTCTCATTAATCACTCATACACCCTCAATTATCTTGTTAATCACTAGAGAAGGATGTAATGGATGAGAAGCTCACAATGCCCCCTGGTATCATTCAAGCAGTACATCAAGGTATTGCATAACTGATCCATAGTTGTGTTGACATGTGTAGAAATAATTCTCCACCACATGGATGCATATATTTTTATCAGGCTTTAGAAAGAGCTGCTTTGTGTAGAATATCATGAGAGCAGGATCATCAATGTCATCTCCATAGTGCTTGCTGATCCAATCTTGAGCATCATCTTTCATGCTTAAGCTGAGCCATGTAGCAAAGAATGTCATGGCACTTTGCCATTTGATTCATATATCTTCAGAAGCCTCTGTAGGCTCTGGCACCACTGCATTGTATAGAATCCCCCAGCCATAGTGGTTTAGCTGCAACCTGACAATGTTTAACCAAGTATTCACATTTTTCTCACCTTGTAGCATGGGGATTGACCAAATTGTTGTTCCAGTGATGTCTGTAACCATTTTGTCTGCTATATTGAAATTCCTTTCAATTCAGGGAGTTGTTTCTCTGAACTGGCAGCCCACAATGCTGCCCCATAGAAAGCCAACCCACCATGTGATGCCTGCTGGCTGTGAATGTGCACCCATGTTGGTGCTAGCATCCTCCATATGTCCTGCTGGACTCATATTTCTAGAGGTTGGATTGGGGGTTGGAGCTAAGGAGCTCTCCAGGTCAATGTCCATCATTCCATCAAGGGTTTTTCCTCTTTTGGCAACTCCAAAGGCTTCAAAGATTCCTAAAGAAGGGCTCAGAACCTCTCAGAAGGACCTACAAGGCTACCAACCATATGCAGAAGCTATAGAAACCACAGAACATGAACTCAATAGATGTGCGTGCCCTTGCTCCTCTCATCCAAAGGATTGTGGGATGAGAAGTAAGACAAAAACTCTGCATCAGATCAAAGAAGATCCGAGCCGCTAAGCTGGAGACTAACTACATAGAGACTAGTGTCTTGACAAATTGTCATGTGCAGCATCATGTAACTGGATTAGACAGTTTCTAGACCTGTTGTTTGCTCTGCTTGAGTGTGAGGTTGGTTTGGCAATCCCCTGTCCACAGGCACAAGTGAAGACAGGCACCCACCCCGAACAGCTCAATTGCCAAATCTCTGAAAATCTTAGTCCCTATATTGTTCCATCAACACAGGATAACCTTCCAATGGCGCCAAACTTCTTTTTAGAGGCAAAGGGCCCTGATGGATCTCTTGTGGTAGCTGTGTGGCAAGCATGCTATAATGGTGCATTGGGGGCCCGTGGCATACATTCTCTACAGACTTACCAGCAAGATGAACCAATCAACAACAATAATGCATACACTCTCACATTGACTTATCATGGTGGGCAACTAAAACTGTACACAACCCATATCAACAAGCCTGGCTACACAGATGGCCGTTCCGAATATATCATGACACAACTTAAGGGTTGGTCAATGACCAGCGACCTTGAAACTTTTTGTCTAGAAGCATCAGCATACCAGAATGCACGAGATTGGGCAAAAGAAAAGAGAGATCAATTCATTCAAGTGGCAAATGAGAGACTTTTCCAGAAACACTCACAAGATTCTTCCTCGCAGCACCAGCTGGTTTCTGATTTAACACCTGTCTTGGATGATTCTGATGGGTCAACTGAATCTGGCGAGTATCAAGATGCTCAGTGGAGTTTTGCCGTCCCAGTTGAACGCCGAAAAGAGGATCATGGGAAGCCTAGAAGGCTGAGGATCTGTGGGAGTGAGTCTCTTGTTACAACCAGTGATGCGGCCAGGGATACAATCAGTGATAAAGCCCTTGTACTCCAAAACTGACCCCAATGTGATTTGTTTGTGCCTGTATTTGTGCTTCTTGTACATAATTTCAAATACTCCAATAGCTCTCCTGAATTTGTTTCACTGGCTATGTTTAGAGGAGGAGTTCACAAATCTTGTATGCATAGGTTTGTAATTTTGGGCGAAGATGGGATGGGTTTGGAGAAAAGATGTTCCATTCCATCAATTCACCAGCGGGAATGTATTCCACAGTGGGACATCACGGGCCGTCCTGTGCCTTTCTGCAGTCCATTACCAAATGAGGCTGCTCTGTTGTCCAACGCATTTAACTTCTGATCAGCTCTGTCCAAGGGCTCTCTCTCTGTCAGCAGGCCCCTCTCCATCAGCATATCTAATGGTCTTGGCATATTAGAGTTTGAAAACAAAATAACAAACATTTGCAAAGCAAGTGAACTTGTCCCAGCCTAGAGCAGTCCTTGGCATGTGTCTTCAGCATGTTTGAGGCGTTTGTTTGTCTCTGCTTGTAGTACCTGTGGACTCCCATAAGAACAAGACTGACAAGTGGTGTTTGAATGCTCTTTTAATCACCTGGAGCCTGTTTCTTTTTGCCCCGCACAGGCTCTGCATCCACACTTCCATCTTGCCAGGATGAAAGTTGGTGCTTCACACTCATCAGGATCTCCCTTAACCACAGTCCATCATCTGGTTTTATTTGAGGAATTAGAAGTTGTTTAAGGTAAGAATAGACAATGTGCTGACTATAACCCAAAGCATGTTTTGATATCATGCCAGGAAGCAGATGAAATGGATAGCTCAAAACTTTATGTTGTGTTCTACCAACCCTGATACGGCAACTTTCAACACTGGGCGTTATACCTTGACACAGATGATCAGGAGGTGATCTTCAAGGTTGTCAGGTCACATCCAAACTTCTGTCTGAATGTTGTGAATTCCAGACCTGAACATTCAAAGAACTTCATTGGCAAAGTACTCATTGCTGTACTTGACAAGGACAACATTTGAAGGGTGCATGAGATTGTCAAAAACATCAAAGTCAATAACAACACCATAGAATGGGATTGTCAGGAGTATGTGCTTGATATTCTTGATAGCCTGGAAGCTGAGTTCATTGTGGAGGAGGACAACAAGAATTATTGTGAAGCAAGGAAGGAGTTGAAGGAAAAGTGAGGGGCAATGTACTGAAATTTCAATGAGGAGCTGAGTATCATAATGATGTCAATATTTGCCACATGTGGTGCGGCCGGAATCACAGATGGGGGTTGGAAAACCATGCAGAGTGAGTTTGTTTTATCAATATTGCTCTTAGCAAGTCCCACCAAGTTGTTTATCCAAATCTTGACAAGTCACTCAACTAACATCCCCTGAACATTGTCCAACAACCACCACCAAGCATAGCATTCCAGTGAAATACATTTGGGCATAAACAAACACCAGTCATCATCTTCAGGAAGTGAAAGGCCATTTGTGCACTTGATCAACTCATAGTACTCAGGATAGAACCCGCTATATTTCCAGTCTAGCAGGCCAGTGACTTGGATTTCCTTATCACAAGCTTTGATAGTGATATTGTCTGGCCGCAGATCACCATGCATAAATACACATTGAATCTGTTGGAACGGAGTGCTGGGGGCAGAAAGATGGCGGATAAATTTTGTGAACAGAGGGGCCCAAAAAGAGGGCAACAGAAAGTTCTCAAAATCTTTGACAGTGAAGATCAGCTCAGTGCTCCATCAAAGGTGCCTCCTCACATCTTTGCAATCTTCACCGCCAACACCACCAAGTGGCATCCTGTCCAGGTGTGGGAGGGATCTTAGATTGGTCAATATTTGGCCCAGTTGCTCCTGAACCAACCTTTTCTGGGCAACATCTAGTCCCAGCCAGACATCCGCCAACGTTTGTTCTGGAATGTAACTCATAAATATCAAGGAGACATCATTTACGCGAAGGAGCCCAAGTGGCCTTGGAGCAGGTATGGTAGGCTTGTGTTTTTCCAGGTACTGCAGCATCATGTATTCAGTGTAGTCAACTGCATTCCTTATGGCTTTGGCAACAATATCTCCATCACATCTGAAAACCATCTTTTTGCAAGGAAATGGGCTTCTTCAAATGATCTTGCAGTGCTGCATAAGCCCTGTCAAGGCTTCTGACATCTCCATAGAAGCATCACCAGTCACTAATTTTCTAACAGAGTTGGATAGGGGAAATATAACAGTGATCAGGTCCGAAGGTCCTAGAAATATGTGAATATCATCATCAAGAACTGAGTTGTCATGAGAAGTTGTCACAGCAGGGCTTGATGCTAGCAGCTGAAGAGTCAGAAACAGTGAACATTAATAGAGGAGGGTATCTTAACTCATTGACTGTGATACTGGAGTTTGCATTTTAGAGAGATGTTCAGAGTAGTCCTTCAGAAAACATAATGTCAAATCAACTTCTGGATTCGCCTCCATCACCTGATCCAACTTGCACAATGTGTGAATATTGAATCAGACTGCTTTGGACTTTGTTAAACCTGAAGAGTTGAGCTCATCCTGCCTCTTTCTTTTTAAATTTTTGGTGAATGGAATCATGGTGACCGGGAAGGTAATCTTGTTGTTTCTGACATTTGACATTGACAGTTGAAACTGTGAAGCACTGAATTGGCATTTTGGAGAAATTGTGCCTGGGAGCTAAGCAATTCCTTTCTGTACCCCACTCGTGCCTCAGCAAACCAGGTTTCTACAGGCCTGATGTGCTTGCATTGAAATCTCCTTGAATGGAGCTGGCTCTTCCTGCAGACCTCCCTACAAAAAATTTCACTTCCCAAAAGAGGTGAGCTGTTCAAAAAGGAAATGGTGGAAGTTCCCACTTTGACAAAAAAATCCTGTAAATGGACAGAGGGCCCAAGATGTGGGACCCAAGTCATGTGGGTGAATGACTAAGTAAGGTTCTGACAGGACCACTCTTGTTGCTTCAAGTAAGTGGCAGCAATGACCACTCCTTGCTTGAGTCTGCCAGTAGAGAATGGGACAGCCTGTAATGATGAAGACACCAGAAGAAGATGTGCCAGTAATCTATATTGCTTGTGTCCAATTGCCCCACGCCACAAATTGAACAACATACTGCCAAATGCTAGACACCCAGAAATGCACCTCAGGGTCAAGGTATGTGGTTTCTGCTGGATATGACTCACCCTTAGCGTGGAATTCGCCCACATAGCTGGCCTGAATGCAAGCATCTTGAAGGAAGGGTGAACCTGGCTGAAGTCCACCAAAGCTGAGGTTGAGGTTGAGGCCCTCTCTTGTATATGTTTTCTCTTGGGTCTTGGACCCTTCGGGACACACAAATAAGTGAATGGCTGGAAAAGCAGGAGTTCAAGACAAGAGGATGGCTGAACAGCTGTTTGGATTTCTGTTCTGTTGGAGTGTTGGTCAGTTATCCTTCTATTCCAAGTGTCTTCAGTATGGGTGCACAGTAATTTAGAACTATGAGCCAGCTCCTAGAGAATGCATCTTGTGAGAATTTTCACTACAGAAGCATATCTTCAAGGAATTCCATTTTAGATGGCCTTGATGGTAGCATACAAACATGAGCTGATTCTTCAAGAAATCATCTTGGGAGGATTTCTGCCACAAAAGTGTCTCCTCAAGGAGTTTCATTTTAGATGACCTTGATGGTAGCATACAAACATGAGCTGATTCTTTGAAAAATCATCTTGTGAGGATTTCTGCAGAAGCTTCTAGTTGGCTTGGCATTTTCAGCTGGTGAAACATATCACATGAAGTTACATGTCTTGTTAGAATTATACTGTTAGAGCTATCCTGTGGAATATATATTAGGTCTACATCAGTCATGAAAGAGTGGTCTTGTCTAAAGTAGCATGTTATATACATCTTAGATTGCTGTTGGTCTTGTATCTTGCTGCTTGAGACTGATGGAGTTTTGAGTTGGCTTTCACATATCTCTGAGACATTCAAGACTGTATGGCTACTGAGAATTTTCTCCCAGGACTAATGCAATAATGAGAGCATTCAGGGGCTGTGGTGCAAGCATGACTTTGCCAGGAGTTGAGATTCATCAGAAATTGCAATGCTAATCTACTTTGCAGAGATCAAGTCACTCCAGGCGGAGATGATTAGTTGATGGGCATCATCTGCCAGCCAGGCCAGCAGCACTTAACCCCTGTTTTGCCCCAGAGTAAAAGCCTTGCAATGAGTCTTCCTGAAGAGTCAATGGGACCAGCCCTTTGGACTCCTTTTCCCATGGCTTTGAATCTATCAAGACATGTGGATGATTTCTAGAGGACAGAAGCTCTGTTGAGTTTTGATTGGGCTAATTCTGAGCCTGGCTGGTGTTGGGGCTACCCATTTTCAGCTGAAGGCAGGGGCTTGAGGAGTTGCTTTGTTGAAGTTTGGGTGATCTGAGACTGCCTTCTCCTGCTCCATCTTCTTCTTCAACCATGTTCATTGATTCTAGCTGTCTAATTCTTCTCTCATACCTGCTTGCCCCAACCCGCCCATGTTGCCTCTTGGCCTCTGAAGTAAAGGTCAATCAGAATTGAGGGCCAAAGGCACCAACTGGTAAGAAGTCATGTCACAGCAATTCAGTACTCTTGTTCTTTCATTCATTTTACTGAGTTCAATTGTTAGGACAACTCCCCTCTAATCATGGGTCAGCCATGTGCTTCTTGTGACTGCCATCTGCCTCAGTTGTTCTACACCACCAACCAGTACTCCAAGGGCCTGGGTGTATCATGATGTGCCAGCTGTATCCACAGCCACCCAAGTGACAACTCATCTGCAAAACAATCTGACAGTGGTAGATACAACATCTCTACCCGCGTCACTGTCCCACATAATGCACTTGACAATCCCTTTGCTCAAGATGCTTTTTGCTGGGTTGCTAAGAGGAAATACACTTCAGGCCTGTGCAGTGGCCAAGTGTGTATCATTAAGTGGTTTAAGACAGGTGCAGTCTTCTTGGATGATTATTTCACCCTTGACATTAAGGTGATTGACAAGGCATTGGAAATTGTTAACAGGTTCAATCAGCTTGACATTATTACTAAAGTTGTTAAAATCAACATTGCTGCTGTCTGGATCTTTGAAGACAACACCTCTGATAAATGGGCTGGCCAGAACAATCTGTGTGAGTCTTTTATCCAGAATTACCAAAAATTCAACAGCAACAGTGGGTGGAATGATGGCTCACAAGGATGGGGGAAAGTAATGCAAGCCCTGAGCCACTTTAGCTACCATCCTTCTGGTGGGAACTATGTTCTCTGTGACCTCCAAGATGGTGTCTACCAGCATGAGGTTGTCCTCTCTGACCCTGTCATTTTATTGCAGAATCAGGAGTATGGTGTCACTGATCTAGGCTCTGATGGGATCAGTTTCTTCTTCAGCCAGCACAAATGCAACAACTACTGTTATCCCACTTGGACACAGCCTGCTCGCCCAGTTCAGCATTTCTGCCCAGTCCCAGGTACAACCATGATTCAACAGTCAGTTCCTACCCACCATTCCCGCCCGGCTAGAACAAGATATTTTGGTTGATGAAAGAGAACTCCAGAGAGTGCAAGTTGGAGAGATTCTGAAGCCAGGGTCAGAGGGGCAGAAAGGGGATCCACTGCACTGGGCAAAATCAACAGACATGGAGCATGGAGCAGCAAACCTGGACTAGGGAGATCATCAACATGACATTTGTTGGTATTGCAGGAAACAGGGGCTGTTGGATCAGCATCACATAATTCTGCATGATTCTTGCTTGATGTTTCTATGGTCAAAAATTATTTTTATGTGGTAATTGAACACGGGCACGCTCTCTGTGTAGAAACAGCAGCCCAGTTACCGCCCACAGCTGCAACAAGCAAACAAGTGTCTTAATAGCATATCACCATCACCAGTCTCCGTACTGCTAGAGACCCTGTGACTGTGATGCGCACACTTGAGAACAAGCACAATCAACAGCTTTATTGCTTCCACGCGGGTATGCTTGACTTAATTGTCAGCAGGGGAAACCACAATTCTGCATAATATGTGGCCAATATTGACTGAATGCTGGGAGCACCGGAAAACACTAGCACTGTTTGTACACATTGCAGTGTTATCTAAGGGTGTCCTTTGATGTCATTTATTTTTAGTGGAAAAGTTGTGTCATGTTTGGGGCAGATCCTCCTGGGCCATCCTGTCTGTGACTGTGAATCAAATCATCAGCCTCAGCTGAAGTTGAAGTGGGGTATCTGGTGCAGCCTGCTGTGGTCAATTGCCTGTGAGCAGGAGTATTCAGGCCCAGCTGAAATCTTGACAATATTCATTCATGCTGACATGAGCATGTTGTGTCAGGTGTATCAAGTCCTTTTCAAAATGCATAAAATTCATAGTTTTGGGGTTCTGGCTTTTCTTTTCTCAGGTTTTATAAGCTGGGGATACCGACACTATCTAAAGATGAATTAGTTACACGAGTAATTTCATGAAGTTAAACCTATGGTGTTTTATGATTGCAGAGGACCTCAAATGAATGATGTGGAGTGAAAAATGAGCTGTAATCCCTGATCTATCTTAAATGTGGTTACAAGTTGGCTGACTTGGTGATGGCTGCTAACTGGGTAAACTAGCATAGGTCATCCTGACCCAGGTCACTTTGATCTGGGCCAACTGCACCATGTATACTTAGAAGCTCTATCAAGTATTAGTTACTGTCACCATACCAGCGCCAGCCATGCCACATGATTACACTGCACCATATTTGGTTGGTTCTTGTTAGGTAATCTAACTAGCACCTCGCTCACGTGACCCACATAGATTAGCCGAGATTCTCCTTTAGGTAGCTTAGTGAATGACAAGCATACAAGTCCTCCATCAGTTCTCTGGGAAAATTGTAGGTCCGATATCCTTTGAATTGCAGAAAGACTGTAATTCATCAAGCTTTTTATCATCAAAACAAGGCCACATGTATTCCTGAAAGCGTGGAGACCTGGCCAGGTGGTGACCATGGCCACAACCACGGCCACCAGCTAAATTACATGATGCTGGCCTGGAAAATTCTGGCATCTCGGGCCAATACAATCATTCAGTGAAATCTATAATGTTGGCTGAGGACTCAGCATGCTCTTGCAAGCTGTAAACATGCAGGAAGAGACAATCTACAAGATCAAGAAATCTTTGAGTGTGAGAAGACAGAGGACTGCTCCTGGGAAAAAATGTGATGTTGGGTTTCAGCTGCAGTTTTGAAGGCTGTCTCTGGTGTCTTCAGAATGTTGATTTCATAAACACTGTGTGCTCAAGAGAAATTCCCTTTGCAGCAGCACTCTTGCTGGCTTGCTGAGGAATCATCTTTAATGCAAAGTGCTTATCAGGGAGTCTGTTTGAGCTGTGTTGATAGCAGTCAAATGTGTTAAAACACCACACAACTTTGTATATGAAACTTTTAAGCAAGAATTAATGGCCCTTGAGTTAGTCACTGCTGACCAGCAAGGAGGAGGGCCTATTTATGAGCAGAGTGCCAAGCTGGGTTGGAATAACAAGTATCTGATCTAACACATACTCAAGTTCATCCACAGAGAGGTGTAGCAACTCCCCATTTCTTTATTCCTCTGTTCTCCTCCCTTCCAGCTTTATCCTTTTTCTTTCTTCATGCTTGCTCTTGTTTTCATAGTGTGGTACTATGCTCCCTGCCTATGATGCATGAGAGAATGCAAATATCTAATTATACTGAGATATTTTCGGAGCTGCAATATTTTGATGTCAGTGTATTTCATCTCAGCTCCTTGGGGTGAACCACCTTTAGCAACTTGCTCAAAGCCTGTGATCTTGCTGGTTTCCCAGCTCCCCAGGGCAAATTATCTCAGGCCACATATTTGGAGTCAAAGGCCATGATTCTCAAATCTCCAGGGCATCTGATTCCGCAGGGCAAAAGATAGATCAGGGCATTTTTTCAGAGGATATACTGAGGCAGACCACATATTTCCAGTTGAGAGCCATGATTTTCTGATTCCACAGGGCAGAAGATGGACCAGGGCATTTTTTCTCCTGCAGGGCAGAGGATATACTGAGGCAGACCACATATTTCCAGTTGAAAGCCATGATTTTCTGATTCCACAGGGCAGAAGATGGACCAGGGCATTTTTTCGCAGAGGATATACTGAGGAGGAAAAATGCCCTGGTCCCTGCCCTGCGGAATCAGAAAATATCCTCTTGGCCGGCCCTGATGCTCCCGGTGTTCCATCCTATAGGCCACGAACCAGGAGCTTTGTGGCACACCCTGAGTACCTCCAGCATTCCACCTACGCGAGCCACAAACTATGAGCTTCTGTGGCCGGCCCCAATACCCACACAATTTCATTAATATGGACCACGAACTACGCAGGCTCATGGCCGCTCCTAGTCTTCTCCACTTATGCTCTACAATCATGGTTATCCCCAGTTTAGCCCGTGTTTATCATGGGTAGCATGGCCACCCCTAGTCCTCAATGCATCCCTACTCCTTTTCATGCTATCTGCTTTCCTATGGTGGTCCCCAGTCTCCTCTACCTCCCTACTTCTTTCCACACCATTTGCTTCTTTCATGGCCACCCCTAGTCTGCTCTGTGTCCCTACTCCTTTCCACATTATTCACTTTCTCATGATTGTCCCCAGTCTGCTCTGTATCCCTGCTCCTCTCCATGTGTTCTAATGCATAGTGGCTTCCCCTAGTTCAGTTTTCCTCTCTACTGTTCTCCATGAATTTGCACTACAGTGGCTGTCCCCAATCCTCTCTGCATGTTTTGATGCATTATGGCTGTGCCTAGTCTGAATTATCTCCCTGCTGCTTTCCATGGTATGTTCTCAACTCACGGTCAGCCTTGATGCCCCCGGAATTTCACCCTTTATGCCATGGACTACATGGCTCACCTTGATCCTATCATCATTTCCCTGTACAACTCCAAAATCCAGCAACTTTATGGCCCTCCCTACACATCTCCACCTGGATTTTAGAATCCTAGTTATCTCATAGTCAACCTATTGCACAAGAACTAACAGCAGCCATACTATGGCTAGCAGAGGATGCCTTTTTGGTATGACAAACAGATAAACATGGTGGTGTCCAGGGCCAGATGAAGTAGCCAGATAGTGGATATCCTTATACCTCACCTTCTTATAATAAGGGAGAATCACTAGCAAGAATGTGCTACAAGAACAGAACTAGCTTATACAAGAAAGTTGGGAGGATGAAGGCAACATACAAGTCACATGTCTTTCCAAGATTAGGACAAGCACTTCAGCTCATTGCCAAGAGGAAATCACTTTCTCAGACCACTGGGAATATTCTACTGCACCAAGACATTCTAGAAAAAACCATAATAATAACCAATCCAGAAAATGCGGATGGCAATTCCAGCATGCTGATTGGTCTCAACCTTGCTAAAGAGATCATGCAGCGGGCGAAAATTCATGGCAATTGAGGTGACACTATTTTCAGCTTATTTCTGTGATTTTGAATGAACAGATGTATTCCACTCCAGGGGCTATATTCAAGTCATAATCAATGCTCAGACAAAATGATTTCCTATCTAATAACTCTTAATATAACCAGTGTTATCCTGACAGCACATTCCACATGTCATTACACCAGAGAAAACACATTCTGGGCAAAACCTATATCCACACAGAAGGGTCCTCCACTCTGAAGAAATTTCATAACAGATCAGGCATTGGCATTGACATCTCAGCTCATGAACTTCAATCTCAAGTTTGCTGACCCATTCATTCTTTCTGCTCATTTTCTCCTGTAGATGCTGCACTTGTTCCTCCAGCTTTTTGATCTCTGCATCCTTCACATCAACAATATCATAGATTCCCCAGCTCACTGTTTCCTATCTCAATATCAGTAAGAATGCATCCTGCTGGAAGAAGAATTCTACCAGAAGCAAGGATAAGTTGAGCACTTTACATTTCTTTGATAGTGACAACATCCCAGCAGGAGAGGCATTGGTGGGCACTACATCATCCAAAAGAGGTTCATACTCTGCATAGCTGTAGTCCATACAGGGTCTCTTTCTTAACCACTGCAGTGGGGGCTGGAATCTATCTGTCCCACTATCTGAATCAATGACAATGACAGCACAGCCAGATTCAGCTGCTGAAGATATGGTTGAAAGGCTGTCTGCCCAGAAAGGCTTGTACAACAAGGAGGCAATTTCAAACAAGAGGGCTGTAATATGAATAGGAGTTCATGCACTCTCTGGAATATCCAACAAATCAATCCTCAGCAGCTTTGATCTCACAAGGGGAAGTGGAAAAGGAACTGAAAGGAAATGTGATTTGAAGAGTGAGGGAGCCTGTACATATATCCAGAGCAGGAGAGGCAGTCACATGACTCCAGGCTGTGCAATATCATTCTTTATGAGCCTTCATTTGCAGATCCCTACCCACATCCAGAGCACTAATAGGGGAATGAGTTTGCTGGTGCAAACTCATTGTCTTTGCTTATAGGTGGTTCCTGCTTGGGGTTGGAGAGAGCAGGTGTGATCACAAGTAGAGTACAGCAAAATTCATTCAAGATGTTGATTGATTGAGTCTCTCATCACCCTGAAGCTTCATGCACCACTGCTGTAGAGCACTCACCATCCAGTAGGGAAACTGCTGCTTGATCTCCCACCAGCACCAGCTGCAGGCCCACATGGATTCCAGACACTCATCATTCTCTCAGGTCCATCTGGCCTTCTTCTTCTTCCCCTTCCTGACAAGCTCCGCACGCATTTCAACACCAGTTGAAGGTTGCAGGGGCTTGACAGCCATCCACTGACCTATGGCTGGTGGGGAGATGACCACAGAGCTCTGTAGAATCTCAAGGAGCTTTGCTGCTATGGCAGAAACAATTGTAGAGATATCTTCTGGGGACAACTGCTGCTGGCTGAAATCTTGCCCAGTGACCAGCAAACAGGACACCAACTGATTTGTTGTTGTTGACATTGGTGCCTGGAACTGAGATTGTGGCTGGATATAGTGTGGTTCAGTGTTGCTTGACTATATATGGAGCCTTTGTCACTTTGACTATCAATTTTCTGCATGGCCTGGATGGTAATTGTTGTCTGAGGTGTTGGCACTCCTATTATAGATGTTTTGGGCTGGGCAGGCCTTCTGGCATGATTGGTGCTTCAGTGATCTGGGATGACCATCTATATTTGTCACTGGCTGCTTGTGAGTGCTACTGGCTTTGGCCTGCAAGGTTGCCCTGGGGATTCTATAGGGTCAACACTTCATCACACTTTCACACAGTGACCTTGCCTGCAGCATCTGCTGGTTCATGTCACATGCAGATGTATTTGTATTCTCTTGGCCCTGACCTGAGATAGTTCAAACCACCACAGCCTCCATGAACTGAACAGGGGATTCAAGCCTGGAACTGGATATGTAGCAGAATCTCTCTTAACCTGCAGCCATCAGGGGATGCAGCACAGATACAGATTCAGGCAGGTTCATATTAATATTGAAAGAATGAACAGATGACCCAGGCTGACTGTGAGTTTCTGTCTCAGCATCAACTACAGTGTTGGCATCACCAGCTTCCAGATCAGATAGTGGACTCCTGATAGTCCCTAAGCAATGATGAGTACTGGTGGAGAAAGAATACAAGAACTTGAGAGACAACAAATCTTGATGTTCACAGTCTGTCTTGTAGAGCAGCAGCTGCAAGCTGTGATCAGAGAAATCATGATCAGCAGAGACTGGGGCAGCATTAGTAGTTGAATCCACAATACTCTCATTATTGTTATCAGGTATGCTGACAATACCATTCTCAATAAATTCCCTGTCAAAGTCATTCAGTGGGCAATCCAGGCCACCACCTTGGCTTCATTTACAGTCTCTGGAGGACAAGCTCTCTGAGATCCATGAAGGTAGGGGGGCCAGCAGTAGATATGATGTTGGCAGTGCAGGGACCACAGAAAATGCTTGTGGCACAGACAGAGAGCATGCAATAAGGAGAGGAAGAAGAGATTCAGAGCAAGAAGACAGGTTCACAGGCAGGAGATCACAGTGCTGAAAATAGAGTTTAAGGGGCAGTAATGCAGAAGCAGAAGTCAGAGCAGAAGCAAACTTGTGGGGGAACATAAGAGCAGTTTTGGGTTCAGAATTGGAGGGAGTGTAGTTGACAAACTGTATAGTGAAAGAATGCAATTGAACTGCTCAGCTGAGCTGAGGGTTGTCTGGCTGCCACTGACAGTGCAAACACCAGCTCCTTTATTGAATTTTGACAACCTACAGGGCTGTCAATCAGGCAATCTGGGCATTCACAGAACACTCACTCTCTTCCCCCAAGTCCATCCAGCCATACAACAATGTAATGTAACACCACTGCACCCCAGTTGTGATCATCATGGCACATTGTGTGCCGCAAGAGCAGCATGTATTGCTCAGATTTGTAGATGAACAGCACTTCCATGCTGGCAAACTCTGCTTGCTTTGGCGCAGGATGATGTCCCTGAACTGACAGCCAATGAAAGACTAGATTCTGGGTTTGTGGTCAGGGACACCAGGTCTGGCCAGCCAGTCATGGCAACCTCCAGGGTCTGTCTGCCTGCCAGTACACCCAACAGATACACTATACACATGATCAGAAATCCTCCCAGAAAGGTCATAAGCAGAGTTTTCAGTCCATGGTGGGAGTACAGTCCAACACAGATTTGTCATGAGGAAAGGACTGAACCCACCATCCTGCTGCAGTTGGCCAGGCAAGAAAAGAGTGGGTGGAGTTCATGCAGGATTTGCAAGAGCCATTGAGAGGAGTATGATGCAACCAAGGCACTCTCCATACTGCAGATATCAGCTCAGCTGACACAGCACTCAGACATGGTGAGAAGTCACCATCATTCTGGAGAACTTCAGCTGCTGCAGTGTGGGACCTGATCTGCATTACAAATGGTCAAATCACAGTTCTATTCCAGGGTTCATTGCCAGAGACACCTCATCAGACAGGCAGCCATGGCATCTCCAGGGCCTGTCTTCCTGCCAGAATGTCTGATGCATACTGAATTTGCATGATCAGAAATACCTCTGGCATTTAAGCAAGGCAGATTTTTGCACAGCAATCAGCATATCATTCAGCTGTGCAGCCCCAGAGTGGAGGACTGAGACATTTTTGCCATTGACCACCAGGCCAGGGAGTCCAAAGAGCCAAATCTCAAATTCTGTGCCATGCATGCGAGGAACCCTCAAGCATGAGGTCAACAAAGGCCCTATGCATCACAGCAAAATCACAATCAGAATGTGGTGATGACAATCCAGAAAGAGTGAAGCAATTCACCACAGAAGAAAACTAAGCCTGGGAAGCCAAGTTTGGGCTGGTTGGAGCATCATGGCAGTCAGGGTTTTCCAACTGAAGAAAAGGGAAAGAATGAAGGAGCAGGCAGTGGCACCAGACCATTGTTTCACAGTCACACACAGACAGAAAGCCAGGTGGGGGTGGTGGCAGCAGAGAGACAGGCACACAGGCAGCAGAAAAGTGAGAATGCAAGAAGAGAAAGGACACAGAGTGCATGTGCCAACAGCAGAAGGTTGATGGATCTTTATATAGGACAGGCTGGCAAGGCAATGATGTGTGAGCCAGCAGGCCAGGGTGTGCAGGACACCTTCCCCAAACAGGCTGCACTAGACTGAACATGGCCATGCTAGACCCAATCAGGGCAACACAATTCTGCATGCGGCCAGGTTCTGGATCCGGCCGCGTCAACACAAATTAAAGATTTACTTTTCTATAATGAACTTAATAAGCATTACTTATTCTTGTAATTCTGCAACTATTTTTAATTGATGTTGCAGTTTATTTAGTTCAGCTCAGATAATTAGTCTGAGCTTTATCTGTAGAAAGAGTACACAAAAGAATTCATCTAATAAACTGTTCAGATTCTGTTTGAGTTTGGCAATATACATAAAAAACAAGAGTGTAAATTAATTCTCTTGTTAAATAGTGTTATGATAATGCTATATTATATCTTAACTACAAGTTATCTTGGGTTTAATGTTGTTTTTACACTATATCTTGAATTTGTTTTATAATATAGGTAGTTATTCTTTCTTTATTTTCAACATCTGTCAATGTATCTGAGATTTGTTATAAAAATAGCTGAACACTTAATCAATTCTGACTGCATCTGGTGTTTTTTATAGTAATTTTCTCAGACAAAATTGCTGTCTTATTAAAGCTAACTATAGTTTGTACTTGTCAAGTAATTTATTATAATAATAAGATGTCTTTGGAGGCTTCACATTATTAAAATTATCTGACTTCTCTGTCAGTCATGTATGTAAGGAGAACTCTAAAGAGAAATTATTGTTTGTTATTTTCTGTTTATATTCTATCTGCTTCTGCAGTCTGTGTATTTTGTTTTGTTCACATATGTTTGCTAGATTCTTTTGCAGATATATTTTCTTTTCTTCAAATATCTTCTTCTCTCAGATTTCATCTAATATATTGAGGAGTGTATCTCTGTTGTCTGCATTATTGACTGGTGTTTTGCTGGTAGTAACTTTACTGCTACTAGCATCTTCATTAATATTTATTTTCTTTATATTGATATCTGCCTCTGTCAGGTCTGCAACATGAGATGTTGTTGTGGTTCATCTCATGAATCTTGATAACATTGTACTGACTTAGGCAATCATATGTCAGAGCATTCAGAATATTAAAAGAATCAGTTATAGATTATATAAATTTTTCCAGAATTAGAGATACAAAAGAGCTAAATAGATACAATGTCTGCAACTGATGAAAGAGAGTCATGCATAGAATATAGAGATTCTCTAACTAGAAGACTGAATACTGAGATTCTCACAATTCATGCAAATTGTGTGATTCTTATATATTCAAAATTGGGGTCATGTGAATACTTCTGAACATCTGACATCATTCAATACTTAGTTGGTCTAGGTCTACATTTGTAACAAATATTCCCTACACTACACTTTATGACTAGCTAAAAAAATGAGCTCTACAGGTGAATTTATGTGCAAATTCACACAAATTATCTCCAGCTGAAGAAGATAGACTCATTAAATAAGTACTGGATCAAGCTAAACAAGAAATCCCTCTCTGACCTGCATTAATTAAAGATACAGCTAATTATCTTCTTACTATACAGAATTCCACCATCTCTACCAATTCTTCTCTATATATTAGTAAGAACTAGATATCAAATCTAGTGACATGCTGTCTAAAGCTTCAGAGCTGCTATTTCAGATACTATAATTATGACTGTGCTAAGTATAAAGATCAGTGAGTTATGAAGAATTAATTTAAGATCTTGAAGAATACAATTACTGAGTATGAGATTCTGCTAGAGAATATATATAACCTTAATAAGACTGGCTTTACTATGGAACTCTGCACCACTACTAAGATTATTACTAATAGTGAGTACTATAGTAAAGCAAAGCTCCTACAGTCTGATAATTATAAGTAAGTAACTATAATTAAAGCAGTAAATGCTTTAGAATAAGTTCTATCTCTCTACATTATTCTTAAAAATTAGAGCTTGTTAAAAAGATAGCTTGAAGATCTTTCAGAAGACTGAAGACTAGATATTAGTTCGAATAGCTGAACTACTGATGAAATAGATCTTAAATAACTTCAATAGGTCTTTATTTCTGTAATAAATTCACATAGAGTTGGCAGTTCTATTTTTTTTATTCTGAACAAACACAGCAGTCATCTTACTCTAGAATTCAATTAAATTTGCAAGAATAATGCTATAATATATCTTTACATGCTATTTGTAAGGATCTGTAACCCTTCTGGCTGAGCTGGTAGACTGGTGGAAGGTTGTTCCAGGGCAAGGCCCTAAACCCTAGGTGAAGGATTTGCTAAAAAGATAAATGTTTATCCAACACAGAAGCTTGTTATGTATATATAGCAAGCTCTTGCCCTGAGCTCTCTTTCTAGAGCCTGTCTTAGTATTTTAGTATTATAGTTACCTAGTTGGCAACAAGAATTTGCTTTTTATAGCACCTAGCTGAGCTCTTAATATAGTACTAATATCTACAACATTTTTAGTTCTTTGGAGATTCATGGTTAAAGTCTCCAACAAATAAATAAACAAACTAATGAATCAACAAACAGATACTAAATATCAGAATGGTGAGCTCTAACTCTGGTGAAGAAGTCTGAAGATTGAACTGAAAGTTTATAATGTGAAAATTAGAAAATATAAGCTTTGCAACAGTGATCTTAAAGAAAGACTTTCTCTGCATCTTAAAGAAAGATACTAACCATGTGTATATAAAAATAATACAGTTTATAGATAGTAGAAGATTCAACATGCAGTAACTGTAAGCTGAGAGAAACAAGCTACTTGAATATAATCAGAAGTTAGATATACAGATTAATATCTTGATAATAAAGAAGAAGAATCTCTAGCAGACAGTTATTAATCTAGTAAAGCAGAATCAAGCTAGCAGTATTAAAAACATTAGTAAGAGAAAGAGCAGCAAGATGACTAATTCTAACTCTTTCTCTAATAAAAAGGATTTTGTATTTGAGTATTAAATCTCTTAAATAAAGAGCAAGTTGTAAATCAATAGCAATTACTTTACTAATAAGAACAGCAAGATTATTTATATTAAGAGCTGAATAACAAAAGATGCTGTGAAGCATCTGGCTCTCTGAATGTAAATTAATTATTCAGAAAGATTCACTACAGCAGATAAGAGTTTTGAATACTTGACAAGTATATATAAAAACTTAAATAAGATTCAAAAGATTCAGTCAGACTACCAGTATCTCTATATAAGAAATGAAGATAATGAAGTGGAGTATGATGGGATGCCTCATTAAGGTAGACAAGTTGGTTGATATGGTGAGAGCACAAGAAAGGTGAAAAATCACAACATAGTAAGAGTATGGTCAAGTAGTAAGTGTAGAGATAGGTATGTCCTAATGGATGCCTAAGCTTATAAGAAGTAATGGTACTAAAGAGCCCTGTACTAACACAGACAGCTCTAATAAGAAATAGTAGCATGTTTCATGAACAAGAAATCTTCATATTCTCTAACTAATAACTGAACTGGTAGTAAAAAATAAGTGTGTAGAAAAGAGCAATGGTGTGTGAAGGTAATAAGCAAGATGCAAGAGCTACAGATGGTTTATATAACTTAAGAATAGTAGCTTTAGTGTGATTTGCATCTTGAACTAGAACAATCTTTGTTCTAATGAGATACTGGAATCCTCACTATATTTTCTTCTGGTCTTCAATATTAGTGTTCCCTGACAACAAACAACATATAAAATAAAATAAAACCAATTTAGTAAAATAAGAGAATAATAAATAGTAATGAGCAGTCTGATAAGGAAAAACATAGAAAATAAGAATAAGAAGAGTGATAGCAGCAATCTCTAATAGTAATCACCATGATTCTCTTCTTCCATCAAGTTCTTGAGAGAAGAAGAAGGCTGAACTGATGCTGGATTAATATTGTTGTACATGCAATGCCAATAGAATTTATTACCAAAAGCTTTCTTTTTAATTTGGTAAGTCTTGATAATGGCATCCAGAGTAATTTGTGTGGCCTTTAGGCACCAGTTATTAATGAAGTTCTGAGTCTTTTTGTCATCAGGGCCAAAGAGAATATTGAGTTCCTCAATTATCATGAAGTTGTTCCATCTAATTTGTTCTACCAGAGCATCCAATATAGCTTCTAAGTCTAGTAATTAAATAGCAGTAGAGAATCAATATGGAACCAATGCATAACAATTTAAATAACTGAATGGAGATGAAGGCCCTGAAACTAGATCTTTATATACAGTGGAGAACTGGAACCATGTACCAGCTTTATTAACTTCTAGATGTTCATGGTTCTCTTGAATTGCTATATACCAGAGTAGTATAGTACATTAGATCTTTTTGCATGGACCATGGGCTTCATGAGATAGCAGAGAGCTTGTAATTCAGACATCACCAGATTTGCAAATGATGTTAATCCATCTAATACCAAATTTTCTTTTATTGTTCTTGATATACATTGTATCTTTAATATGGTGAATATAGCTATCAGTGAATAAGTCTCATTCTTCAACTAGTCTCCATCAATTCTCTAGATAATTATGCATTTCTAGCAAGATTTCTGTACAGTTGCTGAGCTCTTCTGCAGTTAAGATTAAGAATTCTTGTATCATATTAATGCCTTCTTTCAGTAGTAATAGCATCTGGAACATTAATATCAATATGGCAAAACCCAGTTTTATCCCCTGACTTAGCATACTTGGCATAGTATGGATAGAAGATTAATTTCCAAGTGTGGTTGGGTCTTGTCAGTATGTACCATAGATAGTTTGCAGGGCTCTGGCACATAAGTTATTGGCTGATACTGTGATATATTATTCTCAACTATCCATAATTGTTGTGATCTCTCATCATTTGCTGATGATGGTAGTATATGTTGTATTTGCTGTTGACTCAGATGAGTACTGTAGTGGTGACATCTTGTAACTTATCATTCCACCAG